ATGGGGGGGGGAGAATAGATAGAATTATCAAATGGAGGATGAGATGGCAAGGCATGTAGCATGCATGGGAGAGAAGAGAAGTGCATGTGAAGTTAAGTTTTAGTGGTAGAACCTCAAGGAAGGAGACCCTTAGGAAGATTTAGTCATAGATTTGATAGTATTAAATTGTATCTTGGAAGAAATAGAACTGGACTGGATTCATCTGGCTCAGGATATGGACCACTGTAAGGCTCTTGTAACTATGAATAATGAATCTTCTGCTTTCATAAATTGCTGAGAATTTCTTGCATGGCTAAGTAATTACTGGCTTTTCAAGGAGGACTGAGGAGTCATCTATATTTCTGCACATGTCTGGTAACCATCTACCACATTTCATGGCGTCAGGACCAAGAAGACCCCACTCTAAATCTTCATTGCCATGAAAACTTAAAAATATTTCAAGAATTCTGCTTCATTTTGGAACATTTTTAAATTTTGAATCTTCTGGAAAGAAAGCAGATAAAACAGGCAGTAAGCAGAGCCATGCAACATTGCATCCGAGAAGATACAACTCCTTCAAAGCTACAAACTCTCTGACACAACTGTCATTAACTTCTACAAATATTGTTTTTCGACATTATCCATTGTCTTGTCTTTATCTATAAACCGTTCTATTTTTCAAAACATGTTTCAGAGATTGGATTCTGTCTCCGTCTTCGAAACACTGTGTTTTGAAAAATAGATGGGACAGTTTTTAGATAAAGACAAGATGATGGATAATGCCCAAAAACATAATATTTGTACCAATGTACCATTGTCACAAACTTTTAGATCTTAATCACTAGCTTCTGTTCTTGATAATAAATATTTAATATACAGCAGTTACATGTATATGTCCCTTAACCCTTTGAAGCCTGAAATTTATTTACATAATGATTAAATTTCAGTTCCTACCTCAGAGAAGACACACAGACTCTTCACTACAAAGAGCCAGATGTACTGTTATTTACGATATAATCACCGTTTATTATTAGACTCCTACAAAACCCACAGACAGAGACAAAGTGCAGAATTTGTTAATGTTAAAACAGGTGATACATCTAGTAATCACTGTGCTTTAAAGGGTTAATAGAGAATTGTTGACCACCCTAAGAAGATAAAATTGTTGCTATGTGAATTAAGTGAGCACTATGTCATAAAGTCATATGGGGAGTGGAGGTATAGCTCCACAATTCTTGACCTTGGCACTAGATAGAGATGGTCAGCTTCATGCCCCGGCCGCTTTACCCCCGGTATCCATTGGATAGGCAGCAGGGTGAGCCCCAGAGCCAGTCTAACGCTGTAGAAAAAAAGACAAATTTTGTAATACTGGCATTTGAAGCCAGGCCATCGAGCCCATAGCACTTTGGTATACCAATTGAGCTGTCCCAACTCCAAACATCCTAACAAGTCCTGATAAAGTTACCTATAAGTTACTGTGGACTGAGGTTAATACAGAAGCAAACATAGCAATCAATACAAATTTTATTGACACTGTACATAAAATACATGTTGAGCGTACAAATTGGCAAATCCATCAAAATACAGGACTGTGTCTCCTTTGTTAAAGCACATATCCCGTTTAATCTGTATGGTATGTTTGTCCAGTGCGGATTTACCTAATGGACTGTTTTCAAGAAACCTAACCCCTATGCTGTATGAAGTTTTACTGTATATAACAATTTTAAATATTTGTTACACTATATTCTTATAATAAATTGTTCACATCTTTATTAGGCATCCATTTTTCTAAATAATTGAACTGCTTTACATATAACAAAAATTTCCCCCCACATAGAACATATCTTGAATGACATTAAAGGGAAAAATCAAAAACCAGTACTTTAATAATTCTGCTTGCTTTGTTTTATTCAGTTAATCATCACCATACATCATGGTGAATGTACCAGTTCCAATTAGTGACTGAATTATATCATATTTAATAGCCTTAACAGGCACATGTTCCTTTACATACATGTAATACAAAATACATATTTTTTTTGCAGGTCACATTTGACTTAAATCTTTTGTGCAGCAAAGAGACCATAAATCACAGTTCTACATGGTTGAGATATGAGCATGTTCCTGTTGTATTCTCAGAGTCTCGAAGTCTGTGACCACAACGCAATATATCTGGTGATGTAAGCTGCCTTATACCATAACTATTATAACCCACACTAACTGTGTAATGGTAACCCCATCACTGGCTTCTGATGAGGCGCAACCCAAGATGTACAGTGGCTCCCAGTAAAGGAAGTAGTCCCAGCAAACCAAAACCACCACGCATTCTTTTCTTGGGATCTGGAACATGAGAACATTATGTGATATTTAACTCTTTGTGTTCTAGTCTCATTCTTAACTGTTTCACCATCAAGCCCTGCCACAGAACTACCTGCTAGAAAAGCCAAAGCTGTTTGGGGGTAAATGCAGTTCTACTGAAAACCCCAGAGTACATTCTTGAAATGACAACAGGCATTGTCCATGTGAAAGTCTGTTCCTTCCTGTACATATTGGTGTGTCACATTTGATGACATCTATTGATATATGCTATATAGTAACTGATTAACACCAAACCAATCTCTTTGGCTGGGTTTTAATACAAGTACCCGATCCAATCCAATCCAGTCAGTATGTGGGATACTAGCGGTTAAGCAGCATATTAAGAAGTGCCCTACACTTTTATTGGAAAGTATGACAATTTAAAAATATTTAAGAGATAATTTGTCATACCATTAAGACATTTTAGATTTTGTATGTTCTTTGTACAAAGGGAAAAAGGGTACCTCATTCTACATAGTGACTAAGCTACAATTTATTTCTGAAAATCTGTGCTACAGCTTTAACATACCTCCAGTGTAGTAGCCTTGGGCATATGCAATTCGGCCTGCCAGATAGACAATACCAGCGCCTGCGCTTACCACCGGCCACTCCAAACCTCCCAAAAGTAGCAGCACTAAAAACTGTGGGTAGTTTTCCAACCTTGAAGCAAAACCATTAGCATAAGTCTAAAGGTTACTGGACATATACCATCGCCTTGTTTTGGTTGAAGCTTGCCCTGCTTCCATCATCAGATAAAAGTACAAAAACTACTATGTGGATTCAACAGATGGATCTAACTTTTATCCCTGTCCAGGAAGGGGGGAAATGCCAAGTTCCAACTAAACAAAAATGCTAGGCTCAAACATTCTCCTGGTTTAATCTAAAAAGTTAAACACATGAATGTACGGTTTACACGGAGCTGCCAGGAATGTATGTGTATAACGACAGAGCGCTTCTGGCATATGCTACAATCTGCATGAGTTTGTCAGTTCTGGAAGCAGTCCATATCTCTGCGCCTGACTTGATGAAAGAAATTTCTGACTGAGGGGCTCAACAATTTGCAAGCTCCAAGATAACGGCACTGCAGGATTCACAGAAGACTTGCCTTCATGCTACCAGCTACTGTTCTCAGCTGATTGGAATTTCCTTAATAGTACATAAAGATCTTACGTGTTCTGATGTGCACGCTGGATGCAATTGAACTGGACATTGTCTGGGCTGTACATTGTTGGATAAGGGATGTTGAACTTCTTGCGAGCCTTACCAACCTGTAAAATAACAAGGCAGAGATGCATGCAGAGAAAGAAAGGGTACAGTGAGGCATAAAAATTTTGCATAAAGGGAATTCATGATTGAGAGGTTATATCTATCTGTCCAGCTCCATGTTCCTTATGCACCCTGATGGCAAATGCTTACATCAGTGTAAGTTTTAACTAAATTAAGTTGGGTCCTTCTTAAGGAGCTAATAGTTTCTCAGCTACTCAAATTCCCATCATTTCATGGAAACCAAAGGGTCACTACATTGTATACAAAAGCCTGCCCCTGGTCCCTGTGCTATGCCCCATGAATCCATCCACATTTTCTTGTCTGTTTCTTTACAGTACATTTATATATTATTCAGTCTATGCCTGTCTTCCAAATGGTTTCTTTCTTTCAGGTTTTAGTGTAATCCACTGTGTGGGAATGTTTGGCAAGACTTGTGACAGGTGTTGCAGTGCATAATTGGCAATGACATCTCTCCCATAAGTTTTTTATTATCCCTGGCATCTGATTTTTTATTATCATTCACAGATGGCAAGAAGGTGGCCCTTCTATATCACTTAGCTGGCTTGTGGCAGTTGTGTACTACTGATAGTTTTTTGTTGCTATCCTCTGATTTCCGAGGCAGGTCAAAAGGCACAACACAGGCTTAGACATGGCAAGAGATCACTTAAATACCCACACAGGGGGGTTAGGGAAAGTGATTTCCAGATACCCTCCATAAAAATTCCAATTCCTAAAGTGCAGAATATAGAACTCCATGCTTGTTGGCTCAAAACATGATATAATATCCATTCGATGTTAATAATTATAGGTAAACATTGTAAATTATTGAAGCTTTCATGGTCACTGTATGCATATGCAGTCTCTTCAAGCAATGAGCTGTGCAAAAATGGTGTCATTATCCAACATTTTGGAGACTGTCTCTGCCTCCGTCATCAAGTCTCGATGCAATGAGCATACAACTGCCCATTGATTGTATAGCTATTTATACATACTGTTGCTTTCAGAGCCCACTGAACAGATGTCTCAATGATCATATAAATCCCTGATGATGGAGGTAAAGACCATCTCTGAAACATTCACTACAAACTCCACTTTCACAGGGCTGATCTTGTGAGAAGACTTGATTGCATGCTTGCTGTACACTGCTTCATTTAGTGCACCCTATTCTGTGCTACCATTTCTGTATTTTTTACCTTCTGCTTGCTGTTTCATAAAGGGATAACGTTTATTGCACCCCAAAGGACTAGAAGTATCAGGCCTCTACTGGATCTGTTGTGGGTTCAGAACTTGCTAGTGTCTTTCTGTGAGCCAGAACTATCCTGACCAAGGCCCTCCTTTTTGTCTGTCAGCTATATCCATGAAGAGCCAAGGATCTCTAGTCTCTGCCTGGCTGAAGCTGGGCATTGGCACTGTGTATGATAGGATGAGTTCTCCTACTACCCACATTTCCTCCATGTGGCACGCTCCTAGATTCCCATAATATTCAGGTGTCCCTCAGTGGCAGTCACTAGCATACACTGTTTCTTTCCTAAGGCTAAAAGGTCTCTAGATATTTCATCTGAAGACTTTTTGGTGTCACTTCTACAGCCAGGGGATAATGTTACCTGCATGGCCTTCCAGGTTACAACAAACGCTGAACCTACGGCTACAAGGATGCAGTAGCCATACTCTTTTGGTATGGTGATGGTAATAGGAGTGTTGTTTGTGAGGGTACTGAATGTCCTGTAACATAAAGTTATGAAAGATCATTTAGTACAGTAATACCTCAATTTGCAAAGTTTTGGTCTAATGAACTTGTTACCATTACCAATCAGGTCTGTCTAGCAGTAATGCTCCACAATTGTGTTCAAGGGGGTGCATCATTTGAATATCAGCTGGTACGCCAGCTATCTTGACATGATTTTTTTTTTTCTTTTTTTTTACCCCCCTCCAGGCAAATGGCAGGATAGTATATGCAAATTACATCATGGCTGCTCCCTTCTAAATTCTTTCCAATTCATTATTCATTAGCCATACTACCACAATAGGAGCTGGTACAGTGACTGGCTACAGGCTGGATGACCAAGGAGTCAGAGTTTGAGTCCCAGTAGGATCAATTATTTTCTCTGTCATCCAGACCAACTCTGGTGTCCACCCAACCTCCTATCTAATGGGTACCAGGGACTCTTTTTCCCTGGGATAAAGTGGCCAGGGCATGATGCTGACCACTCACCTCCAACTAGTGCCGAGGTCAAGAAAACGTGATCTATACATCCACTCCCCCATATGCCTTTATGGCGTTGTGCTTAATTAAGCACAGGGATAACTTTATCTTTTTCACCTTTACTATATACCATGATGCTGTATAATCTTAAGGTACTGAAGATGCAAAATAATCCCTCACTCCCATTACTGTTATTTTGCATGACTCCATGTAGCACAGCATATCCCAGACATTTCAGAAGAACATGCTATCACCAACTTCAAGACTGAAGCTCTGGTGACTTGCACGGCTTGCCCTTTTGAGGAACAGGGTAATTTCCTCTGAAATGTCGGTGAGCTTCTACCAGACTACACGTTATTGCATCCCAGAAGATAGTGTGTTATTACAAATTATTCGCAGTATATTTTACCGTTAATAACGAATTTGCCCAGGCGATGGTCTATGTGATCTTTGCCATTGTAATATAAAGTTCATTAATTCTAATGACACACCAGTAATCAGAAGGTAGACTTTGGCATTGGTGACGGCGGTTCTCATTTTTATATTTTCACTGTCTAACGTAACCTGATTATTAATTTCTTTATATAAACAATTTTATATGTAATATACTGCGACAATAATACAAACCCTGACATAGTGGTTGCTGTGTGAAAAAAAAAACTAGAAAATGCTGAACAGATACTAAATTCAATCCTTGTGACTTATCTATTCGTCCTAGCGTGATCAACGGGATAAACGGTGACTAGTCACTTTCGGCCACGGATTATAGCTACTATCTCGCTAACGTTGGTACGTCTGTTCGATCACATTCCCTTGTTCAATAATCTGTGAGCATTACAACGTTGGTGTCAAAGTTCAAATGGTTGTTGCTGACCTTGCCAGCTGTTTTGCCGCGTATTTTCTGTTTGTCAGAAGTTCGTAGGTGTTTGAATCATTCCTAATGAAAACTGAGAAATAAAGAAATGTCACTGAAAGATATAGAAGTAAAACTGAAGACGCTGGGTGTGAAGAATGATGTAGCGTCTCTTGAAGCTTTCGTGAGTAGTCTGGAAGATGAAAAGGTAATTATGATACTTTCGATCATGACCTGTGTGATAACATTATTTGCATTATCCGTTGTTCAGTATACGCTTGTATAGGAAGAACAGACGACTCCTTCAGTGCGCCAGTCCGTGTGAAGAGATAAGTTAAAATTATAAATGAATAACAGTGTATTGCTTAGATTATACAAGCTGAAATTTATCAAGTATAACCCCACCAGAGTCGTGTACATTTTAACGAATAAAATCACTGTCACTCATCACATGCATAACAACAGTGCGTCGTCAGCTGCCGCTATCAAAAAATGAAATTAATATTAATTTAACGCGTTTGCCTCGTGACAGAGGAAATTGTAAATCTGTTACCATACATAATTTTAGAATTACTGAAGAATAATCATTTTGTCTCGTGTTTCCTGGGGCCGTCAGGTATGTGATGTTCTAATCTAATTTTACTAACGGTTTACAATAGTTAAATTCTGCATAATGGTAATCACATATCTGGTTCTGTGGCAGAACTAAACAGAGAATCCGACATAGGTGTTTTGGGTTATATCGTCATACTTTAGCATAAGGAACATCCTCCCGAAGTTTGGCACATTCCTCCTGGGACATCCTGTATATCAGATAAGAGCTTTTCAACAGAAGCAGTCAGGGCTGGTGTAAATTTTAATGCCTCCCACCTCCATGAAAAACAGATGACATTTGTAAAACTTTTGTCACAATAACATTGTAGTTCCAGATGTGCCAAGTCATGATCAGCAGAAATTAATTTTCACTGAACAAGGAGCAAAACACACTTCTGAAATATATTGCCTCCTAAAATTATTGTATTCCAGGTAGTTGCTTTGTTTGTGTGTGCTGAACCAGGCTAACTTGAATCTGAGCATTGGTAACCAAGTTAAAGTGAAAATTAAAATGCCACCTTACTTTTGAATAGCAGTGAAATTATTAATTTATTATTTTGGTTGGTATCTGCACAAACATTTGTTTAAATTAATTATACTTAAAGAGTAGTTTCCAGAACATGACCTTTGATGACAGTGTTATAAAATAAGCCTCAGAAATAAAGAAATCATAATTGTTTTCAGAGAAAGGGAAAGTTGCTATGAAAACGGTATGCTTTGTAACTGCGTTTTATGATACTGGCTTTACTCTTGCATAGGTTAAGGAATGTTTTATTTTTGCAGATTTGCTCTCTGGTATCCTGTAAGATATGCCATTCAGATGCTCCTCAGTTGCTCAGTTACCTTTACCGAGGCATGCCCCAGAACAGCGCTACAGAAGTGAAGCGTTTCAAGGTAACTGATTACTGCTAGAAAACATATTCTTAAATCATGACTTCAAATACTTTTGAGGAGCATCTGTTGTCATCATCATCGTCATTGCCTTGATGCACTATTTCCTATTCATTTTACCTTGGTTTTGAATTCTGTCCATTGCTTTTGGGAAATGTTAACATTACTACTTAGTAATTTAGAGACTTTTGTCTGCTCATTATGAGCTATACAGACAAAAACTTAGATGTTCTCCAGATGCTAACATTGTTTTTAGGGCTGTCGATATATTTAAAACTAAAGATTGTTTCCTTCAGTCGTATTTTATAATGGCCACAGGACTTTCCTATTTAATAAGTATTCATTGTATTCAGTATAAATGCTTATATCTTTCATGTAACCTTCTAATTATAATTAAAGGTCTATTTATCACAGTCCATCAATAATGCAACAATTATTAAAATATTCATGATTTAACCCTTAACACAACATGTTTCAGCCATAGATGGCCATCTTCAGGTGTTTCACTGCGTCCGAACTGATGCACTGCTTTGATGTGCACTAAAACTGCAGTCCACTTAAAATAATATAAATAATTACTTAAAATCCATTAAAATTTTTTCTTATGAGATCTTTCATAAAATCCTATTCCACCTCATATGGGGAGTCATCCACTTGTTTAAAGCTATGTGATATGTTATAACACATGGACGTTGCCCCATGTGAGGTGGAATAGGATTTTACTAAAAATCTTAATAGAAAAAAATTTAATGGATTTTAAGTAATTATTTATATTATTTTAAGTGGACTGCAGTGCGCAATTTTAGTGCACATTAAAGCAGTGTAGTAGTTTGAACACATTGAAACACCTGAAGATGGCCATCTATGGCCGAAACATGTTGTGTTAAGTGTTAAATGGTGAATATTTTAATAGTTGTTGCATTATTGACAGACTTGATACATAGACATTTAATTATTGATTTGCAACAGGATGCTGAAATGCAGAATTCTAATTATAACTTTGATTTATGTTAATGTAATTGTTGTTGCTGTTATCATGATCATCACATTTTAAATTTTTAAGTGATGTAACTTGCCTATTTTATCTTTTGTTTATTTTTTCTTTACTCATGTTTATCTTTTAATTGTCTGTTCAGATGTTAAATTATAACCTAACTAAATAAACAAACTGAATTGAAAGTAATTATTTCATCCACCTTCATGGTTAAAATTATGGTGGTGTTTGGTGATTTTGATGGCGTCACGATGGAAGCTATGGCTTGTTATATGTTGGATATGTGGCAGGCTAAGGAGGTGAACTTCTTGCAGGTGACTGAAAGGGTTCTCAGGGGACTGCAGTCACAGGAACTGCAGAACAAGCAGGTGAATGCTATTGTGAGTAGGCTGGTGTTGGAGGTAGAGAAGTTGACACCAGCCCAGCTTGTGCAGTTCTGTGATTACTGCATTCACTGTATACAGCACGAGGATGGAGAGCGGACAAGGTGGGTCAGTGTCATGGGTTTGTTGTAAGTGCAGTTGATCCTTGATGTTCCGTAGTTGTATTTTAGACATCCATTAATAGGACCTGGCTGGCATGTGACATCTCAGAAGTTGTGACGCAGACCGTTAAGGACTGGATGCACTGAGACCACTGTGAATACTGGATGAAGGACGTGAAGGGCTTTGTTAAGGAAACCTCTGCCAACAGACGTTTGAGCTACATAGGAAGTCGTGACCAAGCAGGACATGGCAGTATTACTGTTAACTGATATTCAGGACATGCTCACATCAAATCTTGGCCAGGTTTCCAGATTTTCTGACTTGTTCTTTCATGTTTTCCTCAGGCCCTCCTAGTAAGTTCCACAGTAATACCTATATAGGACATGACCACTTCCATTCACATCCTTTCTGATTCATCTGTTATCATGGTGCTCGGTGTTATGTAGTCTAGCTACTGACAACATGAACAAATGACCCACAAAGGAAAAAGAAAGAAGCTGAAACATTTGACAGGGCTATTTATAGACTTCTGGGTCATGATACTGTGTAGTGAGCAGAGTCGCATGACTCCCAGAGTTGTGAGACAGTCAAATATGGCTGTGAGTCCTCCAGATCTTGGAAAGACGAATGACTGCTGGCAGCGACCAGCAGGAATTTACCTTACCTGACACTCTGCTGTCAAGTGGTTACCAATATTGTGGAGGAACATACTGCTTGCATTTATAGGTATCCAGAGATGTAGGAGGTATATTCCTTTGAAGAAAACAGTAGAAATATTTTTCTGAAGACTGAGGCAATATGTTCTTCCAAAATGTTGATAAATATTTTACCAGACTACATGGTATCTATCATAACTGAGAAGACCAAAGTGTGAATTTAATTTGTATTGGTATTCACTGTTCCACAAGGCTAATGTGGAGAGAGGAAGTTGCCTGTGGTTACATAATGAATATGTTGATCACATCTCATAATGACCTGAAAGTGCTTCCTCAGTCTTCCAGAGTAAACTTGTTCAGTATATTGTGTCTTACTTGCCAGTCATATAGAAGGTATGTGGGGTTGAAATCTTAGATATTGTGAATGATTCGTATTTTGCTATGATTTTCTTAATACCTGAACTGGGACTTCACATAATCTGTCCTGGGAGAGAGACAAACAATTCATGTCTGGGTCCATTCATTGTTATTAGAATTTGTATTCTTATCGATGCATATTTCTTTTTATAAAGTAATATTTATATTAACACATTTACTGCCTGTTCCACCACCTGATGGGTTAAGTTTATTCTATACCAGTACTGATCCTGTCAAGTGATTGTCACCACCATGAACATAAAATTCATATTTGAATATCTGTAGGAGAGAAAATTATATCTAATGTAAGTTTCTCCTACAGACATCATTCAGATAACACATAAACTTGAAGTGTAGTTTGTTGAAAATTGAAAGAGTTGAAGCATACACGTGTTTTATTCCAATTCCATTCTGAATGTAGAATATTCAACATCCAGTTTACATGGAAAAGTGGCTGGCCCAGCAGGTAAACTCCCAGTATGGGGGCACCCAGTCAGTGTGTTAAGGAATTGAAATCCTGTGTGTAATATAGAGATGTGAAGGTAAGTAGTTTATGTACTTGTAGCGAAACTAAAGCTGCCTCTTTGTTTTGGATGGGAATCTTGCAGCTGGAAGGACCTGCTCCCAAAGCTCTTGAGTGTCCTTGTTTCTAATGACTCAGTGAACCATGCTGGTATAGACATGACTGGCTCGGAGTACAAGTCAGAAGTCATCAGAACATTACTGATGGTGCAATGGCGACCTTCAATTGTCACGTCTCTGGCTTCAATGTTCATGTAAGTGAAACCTCAGTCCAAAGATGAAGAGAAGGATGCTTAATTAAGAATATGAGAAATGCTCACCAAACCAGAGGCTCACAGAAATGACAGAGATTTAAGGTTCTCGCAGCTGAGAGTTTAATTGTGGTCTTCTTGGATGAGATGCCTGTGTAATCTGACCTGCTGCCTCCATCTTCAGGATAGAATACATAAATTTTAGTGCTATCATTTTCAGTTCCACCCTGAAGGTGGAGGCAACAAGTTCCTCTGAAACACTGGTATCTGTCTGCCAGATTATATAGTGTAATATCCAAGACAATTATATTGATAATATTCACTGCTACATGAATTTGAAATATCACATGAACCTTTTTGGTTACATAAGAGGAAGGTGATTGACCAGATGATTGACTGTCAGCTTCTCTAGCAGAACCTCTGCTCTGAGGAATATAGTTTAGTTTGGTTCTATGATGTATTTCAAGTTTGTTATATGTTTTGTGGGTATTCGGTTATCACAGTGAGGTGTCGCTGACCTCTGAACAGCACCTGCAGGTGGTGAACAAGCTCTGCTCTAGCTTTGAGCAGCTGGCCCCACCAGAAATACCACCTTTAGTGCATCAGCTGCTGCAGCTCTGTAAGAACAAACATGGTGTAGCACTTTTTCTCAGACTGCAGGCTTATTTCTGCACACGGCTTTATAACAGACTTCTGTCCACTGCCAGCAGCTCAGAAAGTACCAGCTTGGTTGCCAATGGTGATTCTATAGGACTGGGTAAGTATTACAGCCTGTGTATCCAGTGTTTTTTTAAGCCATTGTGCATGTCTGCAAACAAGCAATGTATACTGGCAAACCTGTCAGAGTCAAGAGTCTTACAATTACCAATGTATTCCATTACCTTCAATATATTACTGTATTAAATGAAAAGTTGTCAAGAGGGCTGTCTCTTGATGCTTGGTTTTACACAGTTCTTTGTGATGTTGCAGCAAGTGAGACTGAGACGCAGGCTGCCGAAGCTACTGTGTTGTTCCACATCCTTCAGTCCGCTAGGTTTGGCCATGCTAGCATTAGGAATTTCTTGAAGTTTATGAAGAATGTAGCAAATGCACCAGAACTTGTATTGGATCCGTTCCTGCTGACTGTACTGCTGTCTGTTTCAAATATATCGATTTATCAAGAGCAGGTAGGTAATTACTTTTTCAAATGGCCTGGAATGACACCATATGCATATTTAATGGTACCTGTGGCATGAGATCCTGGTAGGGTCTCTCAGAGGTAGCCAAGGCAAATAATGGGGACCCGATAATAGGTAGCCACTGGTCCTGAAGGTTAGGGGTTGAGCATAAGGCTAACAACCATATCTCAGGAAACATTATATAGTAAGAAATATGGTGGATACCAGATGGATAATTTATGGAAATGTATGAAGACATATTACTGCAGTGGAACCCTCATTTTTAATATTCCTCAATTCAAGATTTTTTCTCATTCAGTTTTCAGTTGTGATCTGAGAGATAAATTGTATCCATTTAAAATTTTCCATGGTTCAGTGTTCAGATCCATTGTTCCCTAAATAAATCTTTGTTTCACTGCTTGGAATGTACTCAGTTTATCAAGTCGTTTGGCCACATAAGTAGAATGTATCAAACAGGGGTGGCTAAGAAAAATTTTGAAATCAAGCCATAAGGAAGAATAAAAGTAGGAAGACCTAGGCTGAGATGGCCAGATGATATGGACAATGATTTATGAGAGCTGAGAGTGAAGAAACAGATGTAAGAGGAAAATCATAGAAACAGATGGACATCTGTCATAAAGGAAGCCAATGTTATTAGAGGAACCAAATGGTAAGTTTGTTCTCTGTGAGTTATTTAATGATGTATTCAACACAAGATGTCTGATGAATGATGAATTCTAAGAGAGAGAGATAGAAGGAAGTGGTCATGGTGTAATTGAGGTACTATCTGAGCATTTGCATGGAGGACCTGGGGAAACCCATGATTACAGATGGTTGTTGTTCTGGCACAGCAGAAAGAAAGCATCACAGCACAATTCTTTTAGAATCCTCAAATTTGATGCATTTTAAATGCTACCATCTGCCAAGTGTTGAAAATTTTGACTTTTACAAAATTTGCTGTTTCTCACAGCATATGGCTTTTTTGTCATTATATCTTAATTGCATAGACAGAAAACGTCTGGAGCAACTTTTGCCCTGAATATGAAATTTGGGGGGAGATTTTATATATTCATTTAATATTCCTCGATTTGAGGTCGTCCCTCACTGAGCATTCAATTTCATTGATCCCAAGTCAGTAATCTCAGTGTTACATTACTTCCATTTAAGATTTTCCTAAGTTTAGTCTTCAGATCCACTAGTCACCAAAGAAATCTTACATGGGGGCTTAATTTACCCATGAAGGAAGAACACCTCTGGCAACCTAAAATGGACAGCTTGACATTGTAGGAATTACAGCTAGGGCTTCTGTGTTAAGGGGCACGTGGTAGCTTGCTTGGTTGAGGCACTATGCTACAAGCCAGAAGGTCACGGGTTCAATTACCGATGAGATCATTGGATTTTTCAGTTGACCTAATCCTTTCATCCACACTGTGGCCCAGGGGTCTACTCAGCCTCTGACAAAAATGAGTACCAAGAATCTTCCTGGGGCTAAAGGGTGGCCAGCCGGCACATAAGGCTGACAACCTCACTACCATCTCTGTGAGTCAGTTGTCTAGAATATGTGGAAGCCTCGATGTCTCACAACTGTATGGGCCTCCATGGCATCTTACATATTTTTACTTCTGTGTTAATGCTGCGTGAATACTGAAAGGATCAGTTTTACTGTTGGTGCAGGTATTTGATGTCTTAAAGTGCACGATGCAGCGAGCAGTGCAGGAGGAAGAGAAGAAGGTAGAGTCTGCTTGGCTCCGTGACATGATGCCCAGCTGCTGTGATGTGGAGTTTATATTCACTAAGCTCATGGCAAATAGGTACAGTGATGACATACTAGTTAATGTTGTGGGTAATATTCTAAGTGAACTCATTCTGGCTTACAAGTTGAACAGAGCTCTTGAATTTAATTTTGTCGTTCCTTGAAGGAATATTTGTATGAAAAACTTGTACATGATATCAGGCATTTTCACAGTGGTGACTAAAGATTAGTGTGACACCATATAGTCTGTAGATCATTAACCAGTATTTTGGAACTGATGTTCTTGTGATTATGCTGCCTCATGCTAAATATGATTTTATACAGTAAACCCTCAGTATATGAGATGAGCAAGGAATGTCCACTGTATCTGAGTGAAGGGGTATTCGTGGAAGTACACCATAGGATACATGGTCAGTACACGCAATAAATGTAGAAACACACAGTGTGATTATTTAAAGATTTTTCTAACTACATAACCTTCTTAGTGTCCCGACATATCTAAAAATCTAAAAATTGTATACATCCAGATTTTGTCTATTATATCATTTTGTTATAATGAAGGATTATTGTATTTTGTTTTCCAGTCTCCGAGAGCGCAGCTCAGTAATGGAGGGGTTAGTGAACCTGGCATTTATACTGTTAGGAGCAAAGGCTGCTAAAGGGAAGGAAAGTGTGGCAGAGAAGCTGAGGAGGTTTGGCATGTTTGTATTAGTGAGACTTACAAGAAAGCATACCGAAACAACAGGACCTGTCCTGCAGCGGCTAACAGATTGCATTATCACCGGACAGGATATTACACAATACACAGGTGGGCATCGGAGCACAGCACTGTCATTCTGTATTGTATATTTACAGAAACTGAAACACTGATCTGAATTTTATGAAATACCATGATAGTGTTACTGCATTAAGTGGAATCATAATTTAGTTAAATACAGTGGAACCGTGCTTAACGAGCATAATTCATTCCAGAATCTTACTCGTTAAGCGAAACAATTTTTCCCATATAAATTAATGTAAAATACGATAATGCATTCCATGCCGAAAAAAATACTAAAAACATTTTATGAATAACGTTTATTCAAAGAAAATTATGTATACATTGTTAAGGAGCGTGAATCATCTTCATCTTTTCTTCTGTGTGGAATGAACCAACCTGGAATGCGAATTCGATTTGCAGAAAAAAAAATCGAAATAATTAGTTTATTATTTATGATGCACATCTAATTCTTTTTTACTAGAAAGCTATCTAGAGACATTTGTTTTTCCCGACGCTTCAAAATTTGGTGAAAATGTGGCACAGCATTATCATTAAATAAATTTGTAGTGCGCATAGCCACTGCCTTATTAGGGTGATGCTTCTCAATGTACGATGCAACAGTTTCCAATGCTTTCGGCATGTCTCTTACTGCGCCAGAAGATTGTTGCTTTGCTGTTACCTCCTCCTCTGACAAACTCTCCTCCATAACTTCTTGCTGTGAAACACAATGCAACTCCATAAGCTCTTCGGTGGTCAGCTCTTGTGCTGTGCTCTTCCACAAGCTCATCAATATCATTGTTATCCACCTCCAGCCCCATGATCTTGGCCAAAGACACAATCTCATTGACTACATGCTCCACAGGTACTGTCTCAAACCCCTCAAAGTCCCATTCGACAATGCTCTCTGGCCAAAGCTTCTTCCAAGCAGAAGTGAGGGTTCTCTTGGTAACCCCTTCCAACACCTTTTCAATCTTCTTGAGTCAGGCAACGATGTGGAAGTGATATTTCCAAAACTCTCTGGGAGTGAGATTGGTCCCTACAGTCACCTCAAAACAATGCTCGAAGAGTGTTTTAGTGTACAGCTTCTTAAAGTTAGAAATAACCTGCTGGTCCATAGGCTGGAGTAACGGAGGGGTGTTGGGAGGCAGAAACTGGATCTTGATGAATTTAAATTCTTCAAGGAGGTCATCTTGTAGGTCTGGAGGATGGGCAGGAGCGTTGTCCATAACAAGCAGTACATGAAGTGGCAGATTCATTTCAAGCAAATATTTTTTCAGAGAAGGACCAAACACTTTATTGATCCAATCAGTAAAAAGGTCATGTGTCACCCAAGCCTTGTTGTTGGACCTCCAAATCACATTTAGCCTGCTCTTCTGGACTTTACACTTCTCGAAGGCTCGTGGAGTTTCTGAATGGTAAACAAGCAGTGGTTTCATTTTCAAATCACCACTTGCATTGGCACAAAATAGCAGCGTGAGACAGTCTTTCATTGGCTTATGGCCGGGCAATGCATTATCCTCTGCTGTTATATAAGTTCATTTCGGCATCTTTTTCCAGAAGAGACCCGTCTCGTCACAGTTAAAAACCTGTTGCGGCAGGTAACCCTCAGAATCTACGAGCTTCATGAAGTCGTTGATGGCGTTCTCTGCTGCCTTTGTGTCGGAGCTTGCTGCTTCACCATGCCTTACAACGCTGTGGATGCCGGTTCTTCTCTTAAACTTCTCAAACCACCCACGGCATCCCTTAAATGCTTCTTCTTCGGCTGTTGATGATCCTGGCGTCTTCTTAACGAGGTCGGCAAAAATCACTATCGCCTTCTCACAAATGATGTTCTCGTTAAAAGTGTCACCTTGCAATTGCTTTTTGTTTATCCATATGATGAGAGACCTTTCAACATCGTTGAGAATACATAACCGTTGCATAGATATTCTTGTCACTCCCTTTGAAGCCTCTATCTCCTTATTCTTGTCCTTGTTCTTGAGGATAGTGCAAATCGTTGATGTAGACCGATTGTATGTGCGTGCTAGATCAGCCACACTCGCACCTCATTCTCGCTTTTCAATGATTTTACGTTTCATTTCTAGGGTTATTTTTATTCTCCTATGGCTGTCTTTTTGCGGCTTTTTCTTCAAGGACGTTTTTGCAAGGGTTATTAAACTTTGCGCAAAAAAATCACAAATAATATGTCTGAACATGAGTTTGGAAAAATGTGTGATCACAAGCGACACTAAGATGCTAGACGAACGAGTGCTAAACACAGACTGATGTAGTAAGCATACAATCCGGGACTTCCCCTCTCGTCACTCGTTATGCGAGTCATTTTTTTACAATTTGTTTTGCTCTTTATGCGAATTACTCGTTATGAGAGGTGCTCGTTAAGCGAGGTTCCACTGTATTGCCTAGCATGCGTGGCCCTGCCAGGAACATATTTATGCTCCTGCTAGCATGGCTTGCCAGGTGATCAGGGCATGCATCCTTCCCAACACTTTCAGGTAGCGTCAAGTTGGAGATTAATATTGTAACATGTTTTGTTACTGAAGACGCCGTAGAGATTGTTAATTGGTTTATTCAACAACCTACAAGTAACGGCTACAATTACTTATCACACAGTTGTGGGGTTTCACACTTTATAACCCTAATCGCATTAATCTGTTTACACTGTTGCGGGGTTTCACGATTTATAACCCTATGCGCAAATCAGTTCACTCGGCCTTCAGTAGTCTACATGTTTACAGTACGGGAGCTAGGTATCACTGTATCACACGCTCCCAATTACACAATTACACACACGTCCGGTTCTTCTTTCCGCGACGGCTGCTATATTCCAACTCAACTCGCAGGCTGCTGCCTTGAGAACTCTTGATAACACACTGGTTCGACTACTACTGAACTCGGCGATGGCCACATTTCCACAACTCTTCGCAGGCAGCGCAGCTCTCTTATATAGTGGCTGTGTGTGCCTGTTACGTAGCAACACTGTTACCTCACACCGTCTTACGTCACTGCGTGTTGCGCGTTACGTTACTATGCGGAGGGGGGAAGGGGAGCACTGACTCATCCGCCACGTCACTGGGGCCTGAGTTGCCATGTTGCTGCTGGGTAGGGAGGGGTTCTCCATTGCGCAACATGTCACAGTATTAAGATGGATCTTACGAAAATTGGTTGTGAAAATGTGGTCTGGTTTCATCAAAGTTCACGATGCAGGCCAGTAGTGTTCTTGTGAAGACAGTAATGAATCATCTGGTTCCATATAAGGTAAAAAAAAATCTTTTGAGTAACTGTTAGCTTCTCAGAAAGGACACTGCTCCATGAAATTGATTTATATCCAACCTCACATACCAGCTGGAAACCATGAAAACAAAATACACATGCTGTTTAAATGTAACAAAAAAAGTATGACTCTTGCCATCTGTTAGTTCTGTACATTAACCACCAGAAGAGGTATCAAGGAGTGTAAATAGCAGAGACACAATGTTCAACTTGTCATAACACAGCAATAAATTTACAAAGTAGTAGTGCAGAATTCATCTTATGTTTGGCCTGTCCTTTAAAGTTACACTGTCAGAAGCTTTTTGTAAAGAGGATAGGAAAAGATCATATAATCAAACAAGGACAAAATAATCTGCAACTTATAGCAAGGCATGAATTTTGTCAATTTAGAACATGTACTTGGGGAAAGTAGGATTGTAGGAGCTTGCTGACAAGGAGGAGGGTTCACCTGTGTTTTTCCTGAAAGGAAAATTTTAGTGACGCTTTAGTTAAAATACTTAGATGACAAATGTAGCAAGCCGCGAACCCTCAAAGGCTATTTCTCATTCCCATCAAGGGAAATTAATGATTAAGAAACTGCAGATTTGACAAAGAACTCCCACCAGAGAGTCAGATCCACTGTTTCACCCTCCTTCCTGGACATGACAATGCAGTGCTTTTCATTTTTAATCTTTAGTGCATAGTGTAGTGATTACAATTTTTGGAGAACATGTTTAAACTTTGTGAATACGGGAATGCCCATTTGTTCTCCAATGGAAATACAGAATGCTTCTTGGCGAACCAAGGGGGGACAAATACTTGTGTTGGGAGGTTTTCAGTTTTTTTTTCTAAAGCAGGTGTGGTGATGACACTGCGAGACCTCAAGAGAGTCACACGCCGACTTCTGAACCATTAAGGTGCATAGTCCATGAGACTTAATGTATCCCTCCTGTATGACCAGTTGTGGATTAAATATTTTGTGTTAAAATCAGTCCCAAGTATCAGTGATTTAGTCTAGAAACTTCATTTGTATATGTGTCCTGGCTTTTACTACATGAAGATTGACTCCAAATTTGTATGTGGTACAATATCAGACATGACTCCAAATTTGTATGTGGTACAATATCAGACACATCAGATTAAATTTCCAGTATTGAGTAAATTTCATTTTGGTGGGGGGCTGCTGTGTTGTGTCCCTTATGCAGCTTCACTTGAACCACTGCCCATTACACCCATGTTCTCAATCCTTCAGAAGGAAATACTGAGCTACCTACCTGCCCCGCCTCTTCCAGTGAAATGCCATGCTCAAACCTCCAGAGGAGATTAAAAGTGGAAGCTGGGGCATGCAGAAAGTAAAAAAGTGATGCAAATCCAAAGGACATTTACACCCAGTGTTCGTAGTGTGTGGCAGAAAAATGTTTTGTTTATCATGTTTCTCATTCTTACGAATGTGTTCTGCAGATTGTCTGCATCAGATGGCAATGACTATACCACTGGTGTTCAACGAACACCGTGCAATTATCATTGCTCTCCTCGAGATGCTCACTAAGTTACCAGGACCTGTTGCTGAAAATGTGGTGTATGCAATGTTGCCAATTGTACGCTCATTCCCTTCTCTGCGAGATGTTCTCATCATGGTGTTGCGCAAAGCCCTGTTTGCTCGGTAAGTCCCATTTCAAAATTTTTATAATTTTTAACAGATTTGAAATTAGCGCTACATAAAAACCACTTGAGATAAGTGGCAGCGCTACTGATAAGACACTGTCACTTGAAGGGAACACTTTTCAAGTTGGGACTTGTGAATAGTCAAAGCTTGTACATGAGTAATGACAAGGTAGAAACATCCATACATTTAGTGTTTCAGGCTCTACCTGAATCAGGATTTCATCATTTAGGTCTCTTTAATGGCAGATACTCATTCTGTGTTACATTCAAACCCCAGACTTATGACATAATGCTCTCACAAAGGTGGTTTCTAAGCGTAATTCATTATAGCATGGGATGCGTAGGGTTATGTTCCTGAAGCTCAAGGTTCAGACCCTTGTTTCAATGTTTTAACCGGTATTGTGCTGTAATTCTGTGTGTTTATTATAAAATCATTTAAGGAGCATCAAATAAGACAGTATTAAATATTTAAACCATTAGAAATAAGGCGTGTGTGTTTCAGGTTGTAAGAAAATTTAAAACATTCTTCTGATGGGTGTTAACCTAATGTGTTCGTAAGTCAAGAAGTCATTGGTCACGGTAAGGCTGTAATTTAATGAGATTGTAGGTCCAGAAATTTATAAGTTGGGAAGTTGTATGTCAAGGTACAATTGTATTTGTCTTTTGACTCCATTTTGCACTTCCAGCTTTCATAAATCATTCTCTGCATCCTCAACCCTTCAGTGCTGGGGGCATTTAAATCGTTTTTCCACTCCAATGCCGGTGGCTATTTAAATAATTAATTCAGAGAATGAAGCACTTAACTTAAAGCGTAATAAACGGGAAAAAACTGGAGTTTTGTTTTTCAGATTTTCACACAACGTCCAGAGAAGTATATAGAATTAGAGTATTGATCCACACTACTTTAAAATTATTTTTGGGCCAGTAAGCATATAAAAATTATTAACAATAGTATCGTATTACCTTAAAAATTCAGCTATGTGTGTGGTAGTCACGGAAACACTCAATGCTGCCCTCATTTCCAACAGCTTCAATCAAGGCACGATCATCTAACTTGCTTTCAGTGTCAAAATCCGAATCTGACAGACTTTGTTCGGAATCACTTTCAAGCAAACACTGTAAGTCCTCGTCACTCAACACAGCTGAACGTCTCTTGCTTGTCCCAGCCATGGCTGCTACATGCAAACTGCATTAGCTATGTGGAACAAAGGGAACCTCAAGGAATGCAACAAGGCATTTGTTTATCATATCCAACAGCAGTCATATCAGAGGTCAACGTCACGTATCTTTCTTGTTAGGTTTTCTACACATGGTTTCTCATTCCGTTCAAGAGGCAGCACTCGTCACTGGCTGAATGGAAATCGATTTTTTCTTCGACCAACATGCAGAGAGATCACAGACTTTGCTTCGACCAACATGCAAGGAGATCACAGACTATAAACCTAGCATATTCAGTTCTTAACTACTCCAAGAGGTGGAGATAGATTTGTACGGCAATACTGCACCCTAGACGGCGAGCTACAAAACTTCTTCGGAGACTTCAAATGTTAAAAAAAAAAAAAAACCCCCCGTGAAGTTCAAAGTGGGATAACGAATATACGAAATGATTGACAGAAATTTCCTCTTTAATTTCATAGCAAAAGTATTACTTTACATGAAAAGCAGCACAAGACGCATGACGTCGCCCGGCGAGATGTGGCATTTAAATGCCGACGTGCGATGTATGTCACTCGGCACTGAAAGGTTAAACTGAGGACATTCCATGTAGCAAGGTGTAACTCATCCTCATAACCTATTCCTTAGTTTCCCAAACTTATCCACTCAGAATCTATTTGTTCGTCATCTTAATATATTGTATTCCTGGTTGAGGTTGTTAGCCTCATTCCCATCTCCCAATATGAAAGACAGGCTGCTTATTGTGTGGCCTCCAGACCCTTTGAGTGGCAAACCAGGTTCAGTCCTAGGTCAGGTTATATGTGATTCATGTCGGTTACAGTGGCACTGTGGTGAATTTTCTACAAGTACTTCAGTTTCACCAGTGCATTCTCATTTCACCAACAGCTTCACTTTCATTAGTCATACTATTTGGTGCTATATAGTCTTGATACTTGCAGCACTGTTTAAACGGCAAACTTCAAAACTAAAACCAACCCTGTGTCTTGTCTAGCTTGGTTGCTAGTAATAACTCTATGCCCCCATTAGCATAGCTCTCCAGATGTTCAGGGCACCCACACCTTCAGATTAAGGCAGTAGCCCACAGGAATGACTCTTTATTCTAGTTATCAGACCTTCCTATCTTACCTGACATTTCCTTGCCTTTAATTTCTATTGGCTGTGTGTTACGCTATTGGAATGGCACCCGTATGGATCCGCCTAGCCCATTGTTGCATTTCTTCAGTGCCATTTCCATTACTCCTGAGTTGGGAACGGGGCCAGCTCAGTCAGTATAATTATTAGACTACAAGCTATATGACCAGGGAATTGGTATTTGATTCCTGTCACGGACAGATGCTTATCACCATCATGTCCACTACCCAGTCTTCTTTCTTTCCCAGAAGATAAAGTGGCTGCAGAAGGTGATCACTCACCTCCATTTTGTGATAAAGTTAAGAATATGTGAAGCTGTGCCTCAATTGCCCCATTCCTCCCAATCATCTTCATGGCATGCGTTATCAAAGAAGTTGAGGCACAGCTTTATCTTTTACTTCGCCTTATTGAACCTCAGGTTAACAGCTGTCTGCCAGCCCTGTACTGCTGGAGGATTTAAAATCCCCCATTTCCAAATGATACAGTGTTAGGAGATTGTGACATACTGCACGATTGTTTCGTAGGGATGTGGGGTTGAGGAAGATGGCTGTGTCGGGATTCCTGCAGCTGCTGAGTAACCTCGATGTGAAAGGGATGGCAGTACTGAGCAGTAGTCAGTCAAGTCAGCGCAGTCAGGGCCGACCTCCAGCACACAGTTTGTTGACGCAGGTAACATTCCAATTGCTTCAGATGACAAGGATGAATCTGGATATGTTGGCTCAGGCGATAATGCTACAGACTTATATTTGGAAGGTACTCAATTTGAAACTCTTGTCAGGCTTACGGGTTGTTTGACTGAGGAATCAGGGTTAAATTCACAGCAGAGGCAAGAGATTTTTCCTCCTCTATAACGTCCAGACTGGCTACGCGGCATGTTCATCCTCCTATACAGTGGGTACCTGAGCCTGTTTTTCCAGGAAGAAAATGGCAGGGGCATGTAGCTAACAGCTCACCTCGATCTAGTACCAAGGTGAAGAATGGTGAAGCTATACCTCAGCTCCCTAGTATCTCTTAATGTCATGGTGAATAATTAATTAAGCCCAGGGATAACTAGTTTTCTTCTCTCTCTCTTAACTTAGTCCCAGTCAAATGCCAGGATAGCACCTCCAATTATGTTGTGACTTCTTCCATCCAAATTCTTCACAGTTTGTTCAGTAAAGTGCACTACTCTTTCATGCTATATAATGGTATCTGTTAACAGTATCATCAAATAAACCATAAACAGATACTAAGAAGCAATATATAATAGCCAAGAAAGTGGTGACAAAGATATCCTTGTGTCTAGACATCGTATCATATTAGTGTGTAAGGTAAATGTATATCTGTGCCATGAAAGCTAAAACACATTCTTAACTTTGGTGGAGTCGAGTGGTTAGTTGGACACTGGCTGTGTTACCGCAGGTACCTGTTGGATGGAAGGCTGAGTAGGCCCCAGAACTAGTCTGGATATGGTAGTGGGGAGATAGATTTCTGCCTGTGCTTGGAATCAGATGCCATTCACCCAGCCCATAGTCTGTTCACCCTACAGATGGAGTTATCCCACCCCCTGTATATGTGGCAGGATGGAGCAGATGGGCAAATGAAGTTAAGCAGCTTTATATATACAGGTGTTCCAGGTGTTTGGTGCCATACTTCAGGAGCATATTGAGGGTTCCCCATGGAACAACTTCGAAATAGGAACCCATGTCCGCAAATGTAAAATAGCAGCGCTAAGGTGGCATTTAATATCATTTTGTTTAAACTTGGCACCTCAGTGTCAAAGAGCACACACAGGCTTACTACTGCCTCCAAACTCTGAAGACTCACCTGCTAGAGTAGATGTTGGAATTGGTGCCCTCTATTTTCAATGCATGCGTTACATCGACAGAACAAACTTTGGCGCACCCTTTCAAATATTCCAGGTGTTTCACGGATCACGTCACATACAACAATTATTCTGGCCAACAGCTTGAATTCATTATCTACAAGCGTGTCATAGATCAGGCTTTTCACATGGCCCCAGACGAAATAGTCCAGAGGTGTCAAGTCTGGGGATCGAGGTGGCCAAGGCGCTGGGCCTCCTCTTCCTGTCTCTTAAGTGTGCCGGCTCTCCGTTATGCTGTATCCACATTTGCCTCCACACAATCAGTGACACGTCTTCTAGCAAAATCGGAAGGATACGTTCCAGGAACACGTAAAAGGGCCCATTGAGTCGTGGTTGTAGGAGGAAAGGCCCAATCAAGTGATCGCGAATGATGCCCGCCCAGACATTTACAGAAAATTGTGCCAGATGGTGACCAACTACAGTAATGTTGGGATTTTCGTCAGCCCAAACGTGGCTGTTTCGACAGTTGAACCAGCCATCCCTTGTAAACTGCACTTCATCTGTGAATAACACATGATTCAGGAAGTTGGGCTGATGTAAACACTGGTTCAGTATCCACTGACTGAATTGAACTCGTAGTACGAAGTCAGCTGGACCTACGTCGTGTACTCGCGTTGGATGATACGGATAAAGCTGTTGGTCGTGCAAGATCCTCCAAACACTTGATTTTGGTGTCCCCACAATCTAGGCAATGGCACAAGCGCTGGTGGATGGCTGTTCTTCTATGCAATGCAGTTCGACATTGAGGCGCCAAGTTTAAACGAAATGATTTTAAATGTCGCCCTAGCGCTGCTATTTTACAGACATGGGTTTCTATTTCAAAGTTATTCTATAGGGAACCCTCAGTACGCTCCTGAAGTATGGCACCAAACTCCTGGGACACGCTATATATACTTTCAGTTTCACAGACTGTGTGTGTGTGGGGGGGGGCACGTGCACTTGCACGCGTACACAGGGTGGTTTGGGCATTTTCCAAGATAAGTGGAAGGAAAACGTGAACTCAGGATCTCATGAATGTGAAGCAGAAGTGCTAAACACTTGTCCACAACATTGTGTAGGCCTTCTTACCTATGGCCTGTCACTTTATCCACTGGACTATAGAATCTAACCTGCAACATTTATTCCAGATTGACTTGGAAGCAGGAAATTCTAGCACCAACAATGAGGCCATTTGCCTGGAGCTGCTGGGAGTGTTACGCAGATGTTTCATGCAGCAGGCTGACGTAAGACTTCGTCTTTATGAAGGCAAGTTAAGTCATCATCATGTTTAACAGGTATTAGGTTCTCACAGCGATGAGTTAAGATTGTGGTCATTTGTTGTATGACACAGTGTAATTTGGTAGATTGGCAGAATGTATCAGAAGAACCTGATGTCTCCAGGTTACTCAATGAAACTACACAGCATCACGTCTCAAAAGACCCCATACAGTATTTTCAATTGTTGTTATGTCAAACTGTTGTTCTTCATTGTAAGAGAGATACTCATATTCAGTAATTTCCACCAGCTCCCTGCCCAATGTAAGAAGAGCAAGGTTGGTTCTGAAATGGAAACTGTTTTTCAGTAGTTGTAAATATGGGTATGCAGCTTTTTCTGATAATTTAAAACTATTCTCGAACTGTCCAAGTGTACATATTCCATTTTTTAAGTGTTAGGTAAATGAATAAATGGATGGATAGATGTACCAGGGATTCAGACAGACAGGTATACACAAAACAGATATCTACATGCATATGTAGGTACATACATATATACATGCATGCATACACACAGATATTAAAATCCAGACCACCTGTAACCATAATACTGGAGGTTATAAATTCCCTACTCTCATATATTACACATGTGGTTGAATGAGAACTGAATTATATTTCACAAAATATACAACTTTGTTAAACTTTTTATTGCCACTGTACTCCTGTAGTAGCTTTATTGCATGGGCTTCATTACTGGCCAGTGTTAGCTCCCTCAACATCTGATTTCAGAGACAGCTGTGGGCAAACAGATAAAATACCATGTGATGTCATCTGTGGAAAAATTCAACAAACTTTTGAAATCTTATGCTCCTTGTACAAATTGTAAAAAGGGTAGAAAAGTCTGTAAGTCAGGGCTGGCCTAGTATATGAAAACAGTAGTTGAAGTATTAATTTTATGTTTATCATCATTTTATTGTAAGGAGAATTATTATGACTGTGATGTTTTGTTGACAGGTCTCCATTCTGGAGTGATACGGAATCCAGAGCTGAGAGGCTTTGTTCAAGACATGCTGATCAACCATTTCAATCAGTTCTATCAGTCTGATCCTGACACCTTGCCCCCACTCAATCTCACAAAGGCCGTCACTCTCAGAGACGTCTCTGCCGAGTTACAGGTGTTCTACATCAGATCTCTGCTCCATCTATAGAAGTTAGAATGTTAACAGGGCTGGTGGAACACTGCAGGCAAAGCAGGTGGCTTCTTGTCTTGGCACACATTATGAACCCTGTTCATTTTAAGGGAAAATTAATATCTGATTCATATTTTTTTATATCATGACCTTTAATTGGCAGTGATATAAACATGTTATGCAACAATTTAAATAAAATGCTTGTAGGACTTACAGTAGCAATGGAGGTTTTTATCGCAATGTTTGGAAATATTATGTTATTAATTGTGACCGAGTTTTGGAAAATTTGATATGTTTTTAATTAAGGACGAGAGGGCAGTAGGATTTCTCATTGCCTGGGAAGGCATCTAGGTTTGTACTGGCCCTGAAGGTTAATCAAGTGGAGGCATTATGATGGTCAATTAAAATTGTCACTGTAATGTCACACTTTTTTGGAAACTGGTTTTAAATTTAAAATATCTTCATGTTAGTACTGAAGTGTAGTATGTCTATTAACATCAATTTTCTGGAAACTGGCTTTGAAGTTAGAAATTATCTGCAGTTTCAGTGTGACCCAAAACAAAACACATTCTGAAATCTCACACTCAATACAAATGTCTGAAGGTATGTTGAGACAGTGTAACACAATACAGAGAATTAGAAAGGCATGTTATATATCATTTGTGCCAAAAAAATGGAGGTAGAACACTCCAGCACTCAGGTGATGACATGAGAATGGATTCTTAAAGCCAGATAGCATTTTAATTGTGCATTGGTTCATCTGAATAAGTTGGAAATACGAAATAATCAGTAATGTTTGCATAAACTCGTTCACTAGCAGCCCATCCATTTGAAAGCTTGAAATGTACTGTGTGTGTAGCCGATTCCATTAAGTAGTGGGCTGTTTTCATAGTATATATAGTGTCGTATCTTAATTTAAGTGTAATTACTTATTATTGGGGATTTTACATGTCCTGCTTTTGTATGTCTGGCTGCCATGTTTTAACTTGGGTACAGAGACAGTATTGGTAGTGAACAAGGATTTCTGTGAAAAACTAATCGCTTGTTTTTTCTTTCACTACATACTGAGTATCTGATACAACATAGAATATCAAACACTGCATCCCACAACTTTTGAATCTAATGTGACATGACACCTGAAAGGCAGAATAGTGGAACCAGAGGAAACAGCCATCGCTAGGCAACTGCTCAGTAAACATATTCACTCAGCAGCATATACACACAGACAGCAAGCTGATCTCATAATCTTCTTCTTCTTGTTGTTATTATTTATTTTTATCCAGAAAGTAAGCTGAAAATCCAGTCATTTTCCACTTGGACTGCACATCATGTCAACCTGTTTATGTTCCCAGGACAAATAAGGGTTAATGTCTACTTTTTTATTTTTCAGGAACCTTTGGGACACCTTATTTTTTCAATTCAGCAGGTTGCAAGCACTGACTCATCTGACAGTAGTCCTACCAAGCTCATCAACATTTTGGAGTCACTGTGTTCACGCATGTTGAAGTGTTCTCTCGAGAACTTTGGTCTGGTATGTGTGACATCTAGAGTCTTCAGAAGGTAGTAGGCCTCCATTTTGATTGCAGTGATGAAACTTGACTAACATCATTTTGTCAGATCACAATAAATAGCCATTGTAAATATAAAAACATTCCCTCTAAATTTTCAAATATTTTGATGAACATATGCCAATTGAGGCCAAACTCGTATGTTTTAGTTTTATGTATAGGGGCTGTATTTGAAATCTGACCAAATTTATCCACTGTAATCACTTCAAAAAAGCCGAGGTTCGTAAAGCTGGCACATGCTTCTCTGTCTAATGAATAAATGTTGCTTTATAGAATGAGGCAACAGATCTCTTGGATGGCCTGCCAGAAAGTCAGCAGCAGCAAGAGATTGTGCGACAGATTCTTGGAGTGTTTGAAGCCCTCATGGGTTACACTATCTCAACATGGACCAAAGATACATCTGCTGAAAAGGCAAAGAAACTCAACAGCCTGTTCAAGGGTTACAGTAGGGTGGCAGAATATGCTAAGGTAATGCATTTTAGCCAGATTTGGATATAAAAAGTTAACTTTTAAAATTGTTGGTTCTGTACTGCAGAACCTCCTCTAACATGTATTTGATTATGTGCATGCAAATAAATGTGAAAAATTTTTTGCTGAATGAAGAGAATTTGATTACATATGGTCTGCCAAACACACTTTAGTTGCGTATTAAGTACTGCTTCTGTTTAGGAAGCTTAAGATGGTTTGGCCTTTACATATGTATTTGTATACATAATTTGGTGTTTTTTATTTAACATATATATAAAAATGTAAACATTCAGCTGAATTGTCATCTCCATTACGCTGTGCCATTGGTTCAGCCAGGCACTGCATTTATATTCAGCGTCGCAACCCCAGTGCACATGTGCCCCTTCATTTTCTCCCTTCCATTCACCTCTTTGTCCTTGGAAGCTCTGGTCCATGTCTCTGAAACTCACTGCCATCTTGGATCCAACTCGCAGAGGTTGTTTTGAAATTTGGTATGGCTCCTAAAGCTATTTCAGCCATCATTTCTATCTCATGATTATGGAAATATGGTACTGTCGCATGTGACTATAGATGGAGTTTGGATTGGATTTGTTCAGCACTTACAGATCATAACCACAAATAATTATAGTGCTGTTCGTAAGTCACACACTCAGCAGTCTACTACAGCATATACTAGGTCTTCTCAGATTGCTCTGTCTTCACCAGTTGTCTGGTAATGGCTTCCAATGCTGTAGATCCCTCAACTTCTGTGTACACGGTTTCAAGTCCCCACTGGCTGTCACTGCAGTTCCTGAGCTAAACCAACTGGCTTCCAACTGCCGAACTCTCAACTAACTAAGTCACCACCAACCAACTCACTTAGCGGCCTCCGTGGTCTAGGGGTAACGTTCCCACCTCATGACTCAAGGTACGTGGGTTCAAACCCGGCGGAGGTCGTGGAATTTTTAAGGGCGAAAAATTCAGGGAACAAGTCCTCCGGGAGGGACTTTAAGCCGTGGGTCCCGTGTCATAGCTTTACGGCACGTAAAAGAACCTCATGTCTCAAGGGGACCTCTGAGCCAAATTCAGGACATTTCCCGCCCAACAGTAGTCTCTAATGCCTCTGGTAGAGGGGGGAAGCATCGAGATACCACTGAGCCAGTAGAGGCCGAACTCGCTCGCTGAGTCGGGACTGATGGCATGCACCAGTACCGGTAGGGTATAGAGACTGGTAGAATATCATAGGGGGACGCACAATGGACCAATCCCTGGTCTAAGTGCATGGGGAAACCCACCCCCTCCAATAACAACAACAACCAGCTCACTTCACTACTCTGCACTGCAACAACTACCTCAACTCAGTCACATGATATAGCCTCAGAGCAGATGCATCGAAAACACCACATCCAACAACAGTACGCCCATTGTTGCACGTGGGCCACTGGCTAGCAACAGCTCCAGTATTTTCCGTATTTATGAAGCCGTTGCCTAGCAGTGGCTGTTGTCTCACTGTTTGTTTCACGGTCATTACCTAACATCAGGTCTGTATGCAACAGTACATTGTTTTCTGTTATTTTTTTAATTTTTCTGCCACTGCCTCAAGTGGGCAGACCATGTATTGACGAACTTCGTGTTGTTTTCTTTTGCTTTCCTGCAGTCTGGTCATATCTCTACTTGAGGTAAGTTATTTGATTTGTATTCTATTTTATCAAATATATACATCTGAACTCAAGGTCCATGGCTAGTCCTGGTTGCATTTTACTGCGGAGCAGAAGAGTGAAAGTGGTGCATGTATGCCCAACACAGATACAGCACACCATTTTTGAGAGACGTATACTGTGGGTTGTATGAGGGTTTAGTGTTCATGTTCCCTCTGCCCTGCCATAGCTCAGGCTCTCACACACTCCCTTCTCACTGCAGAGTCTCAGGTTCCATCCTAGGTGACTTCATGGTGCAAGTTTCTTGAGTTTCCCCCTTTAATCTTCAGTCCACCATTGCTCCATAGTCATCTCTCACTACCCCCTGAGCTCTGCAATGGTGTTCACCAGGTAGCACATTATCGCATTCTCTCTCTTTAAGTTTTGGGCCTCATCTGATCTGGCAATTGTCTGGTTGAAAAATAAAGCACTAAAATCAAAGATAGATGAGTGATTTGGGGATGAAAGTGTTTTGAACTAGCCATTAATCCTTCCAGCCATACTCTGGCCCTGGGGTAGACTCAGCCTCTAACAGAAATGAGTACCAGAAATCTTCCTGGGGTGTAAACTGCAGCTGGCGTGTAAGGCTGACAACCTCAGTGCCATCTCTGAGCAAATTGTCTAGAAACTGTGGGAGCCTTGATGTCTCATGACCCTGTGGGCCTTCACCCCCGGTTACAGGTATAGCTTTACATATACCTTGGAACTAGGCAGGGTCTGATTGAGGTACTATCCTGGAATTTGCCTGGATGGACTGAGGAAAAAGTGAAAGCACATTTGTCAGGATGACCAGTGATCCAGCCAGGATTTGAACTGAGCACCAGAATACAAGTTACACCATCCCACTTAGCAACACAACAACACAGGCTCTAGGAGATGCTGTGTACTGTGCACATCCTACTGATAGCTTTGTGATGTGTGTTGCAGAGTAATCATAAAACTGGAAAGAAAACTGATGGAGACACAGGTGGTGCTTCGCGGCCAAAGAGGAAGGACGACAAGAGAGTAGCACCCACAAAAGGGCGAACAGTGACGTTCAGATTTCCACACACAGTGCTAGATTACCATGTGACACATAGGATGCTCTGTATTTTGCACATGTGAGTCATCTTGGCCAGACTTTTGTACTCTACTCTGTTCCTGGTACATGAGTACCAGTTATGTTAATGGGGCATTGCTCATATTTATGATTGGATTATTAGTGCTTGATGTTTTTGAAGTTGCTCTCATGAAAGTCTTATTAATAAATGTTTCATTATTTTTCATTCAGTCTTTTATTTTATGTCCTAATTAATGCAGTTACGAAGATCTCTTGTGAACATTTGGCATATTCATATGCTTTTTTTCACAGTGTGCATCCTGTTGTGTGTTACAATTGTATGTTTTGGTAAGGTTATCCGTCAACATGACAAAAATGGTTTTCCAATCAGTCGATATTAACTCAGATTGAATTTATTTTCTTACCTCTCCATGTTTCAGTCCTCATGGCATCATCATCATCATCATCAGGCAGTATTATAAAAGGTGTTCCATTCAAACCTTTCACATTTTATTAGCTCTTAGAACAGAAAGTATGAATGGTAGGAAAATGGAGCTACAGGAAATATAAGAACAACTCAAAAAATTTTATTTGACACACTAATAAACTTCTATATATGCACCATTGGTAGCATGAACAATATCCAATCTGTATTGAATTTCTGGCCACATTCTTTCCAACATGTCCATTGGTACAGCAGCAATCGTTCCTGGATGCGGGCTTGTAATCTGGGAGGTCATTCACTGGAGGCACAAACACACGTCCTTCACATAACCCCAGGGGATGAAATCGAGTGAAGTCGGTGAATGGGGTAGGCACCGAATTGGTCTGCCACATACTCTGAACATCCGGACCGCAATGTGCTTGGCTCCATCTTGTTGGAAGATTGTGTTAGGCTGCAGATCAGCTACCTGGGGGTACAGGAACTGTTCTAACCTGTGAAGGTATACGCAGCCAGATACTGTAGGTTCACTGAAGGAAAACAGGAATGAAATTCTTTGAGTTTTTCTTTCATCTAGTGTTAATTATAGTCCATAATTTATCACAATTTGTTCGCAGTGCTTAAAATGTGGGTGGTTTGAACGGAATACACTGTATAATAAGAATAAGGTTAATTAAACTCCTAATATGGATCCATAGTTTTGTGCAGCGGATCCATATTATATAAGTTACGCCTTAAGTTACAATGTGAGAACTACAATATTAACGTTTCTAACACATTGAGGACCGGCAATTTAAATATTTAAATCACCCTGGGGACCAGCATTTTTAAACCCAGTACCCTAACTTGTGCACTGTTCACTTTAAAAATTAATATAAAATCTCGTAATTAATTTTATGAACTAAAATTTTTGGAGAACACTTACCAGTACTCCTAGAAGTGCTTGAGAGTGTGATATTTCTGGAAACATTCCCCTTTGTGAAGTGACATTACACAGAACTTGCAAATGTAGGCAATCATACTCCTTTTTCTGTGAACTGCGCAAACACGGCATTGCCTAGAAGGGTGCTTCCCCTTGGAATGTTCGCTCTTCACAGTTTTCACAAGGGTATGTTTCCACACATCACCCGAGAGTCGCCCAGGGGGGGTCCACATGAGGCCTGTGTGGGGTGGGAGTGGATGGGCCTGGTCGCACTAAGTCTGTGCCTGACTTTCGTTCTGCTGCCACCATCTGGTCTGTAGCCCAGGCCTTTGCCACATTCATCAGAAATGCTTTGTATTTCAATTTTGAATCAGGGTTTAGATTTTTGTGAACCAAAAATGAATTGAAAATGGCACAATTTATAAGCCACAAGACAACTTTCTTTGTCCACTTTATTATTTTCCTAGGAAGAAAATAATAGGCCAAGTATTGATTGGTTCTATCAACTCCCCTCATGAACATTATACTCAGAAATACAAATAGGCTTCTTTACTTGTCCATGTCTCCTTTGAACATCACCCATGCTCGAATTGTGAATTGTGGAAATCATATCCCTATTTCTAAAAAGCAGTTCTATTACTTCAGACACTTGTGTTGGGTCCGATGGAATTTGTTTCACCCCTGGATTTCCAGTAAACTGTCCCAAAGTAGACGTTTTGTCTACTATTCCCCATGTGGCTACTTTCACTTTTATTGTCTGTGGCCACAATTGTTTGTTGTCCCCTGTCACTGCCACTGTCTAAGTCACTTTCACTACTCCTCTCAGAAGGCACGTCAGATAGCTCATCTGAGAACAAGTCAGATATTCCTTGTTCTCCAAGTGATCGTTTCATCTTCAACCGCTTCTGTCCTTGATTCATATTGCACTAACTTCCTGCCTGGTACACAACAGCTTGAAGGGTCAAAGATCATTTTCCTTTGGAGGGGGAACCAAAACAGCGAGGTCAAGTTACTGCCTACTAAGCAAACATTCCGGAGTAATATTACGCAGTAGTCATTCATTTGGGTGGTGCCAGAGAAAGGTATAGTGTGTTACAAACTAACGTGTCCTAAAATCATGATATCATGCGACCGGTCCACCACGTTTAAAAACCAAAAGCATGATATCATGCGAACAGTCCTCAATGTGTTAAATACTGATTCTTTGTATACTTCTAAACTTTTCAAACACAAAACCCTTGTTTACTTTTATAAAGTGGACATGTTGCATCAAAATATGGATCCATATTGGGAGTTCAGTTAACCTCAGTCATGTTATATAATACTGCCTGATGATGGTGCCATGAAGACCGAAACATGTAGCGGTAAGAAAATAAATTCAATGTGAGAAATACTGGTTGATTTCAAAACCATTTTTGTTGTGATGACGGATAACCTTACCCAAATATTTATTCATACATGGAACTATCCATAAATATCTGTCTTTAAATAAATGTGAAAAAATGTGAAATTTGAGACTCTGTTATGGCAGTTAGTGTAACAGTTACTGTCTTCTGGAATATCAGGTGTATTGTGGTACTTACAACATTTTTTAGGAGCTTTGTCTCCATCTTCACCCTGAAGATAACTCATACTTACAGCTTGCCTTCAGGAACTCTGTGCCGTGGTGTACAGATGAAGCAGCTAATCAGATTAAAGGTCATCGTGGGTTCAGCATATATGTATTGGAGGCAACACTGAAATTGTTGAAGGCTTCCCTAGCTGAGAATCACACCATTCTCAAGTCTACATCCAGGCTCAATTCATACATCAATATTGGCAGGTAATTACAGAAAATAATATAGGAGATGTACATGCAGTGTAACAATTTGCTTCTTTTTGTTGTTGTTGCAAAAATTATAAGATTTGTGGGATACTTGTATTAGATGCAAAATGTGTGTTTCATATTTCTCTGCAGCTTTTGTTGAAAACATTTTTCCTTCAGTTAAAATTTCAGGGATCAATACTCCTTGCCACACTGAAGCAAAACTGCAGATAACAAAAATGTGTATAAGGGAGTTCTTCATATATTTGTTACTCTTGTTTGTTTAACTTGTAAATTTGTTATGAGCAGCACACTGACACTTTTCTTCTTGCAATCAGTGTCGTGTACTCCCAGTGCGTGACCAAACTGCAGGAGTTTGTTGAGTTCGATGCTGGTACAGCTGCCCTCGCACTGGATTGCTTTAATGGATTGTTTGGCCTTGTATGTTCTCATTATAAGGAGAAACTGGGGCTGTTCCTCGGAGAAGTAGTAGGTATGTCTGTCAGTAATTTATAGAGGCATTGCTAACGGACTGACTTCTTTTGTCATAATTTGTGTGTTAACCCTGTGAAGCACAGTGGTTTCTATACGTTATGCCAGTCACAGTGGCTAAGCAGTCTAAAATGTGTACTTCTTTTGTCACTTGGACACTTGAATCATGGGTTTCAAATTCACTTTGGGCATTCTGCTTCTTTTTCTATGCTTCGATTGTCCTGCATAGGTTCAGACCCAGTTCCTGTTGGCCTGCTCATGGCAACAGTTCCAGGCCTGTCTTCCAGATATCATGTACCATCTTTTCCTGTGTTGCTCAATTTTTTGCACTGAATATGGAGGCAGTGGTTTCCTGTCTTCTAAAGTGTATGGTGTCACATTTCAGAAGACTGTAATCCCTATGCCATTTTCATCCCCCCCCCCCAACAAGCATGTGACATCTTTGCCTTTTCACTTTTAATAATAAGTAGAATAATAAGCCATTCAGTATAACTAATTTAATGGAATGGAACAAAGGCTGTACATCTTATTTGATCTGTTCTGTTTAATTTGTTGTATTGGATGGTCTGCTGTTCTAATTTTTACCTACAGTATTGGGGGCATGCAGTAGTGTAGTTTATTGAGGTACTATGCTACAAGCCAGAAGGCACAGGTTCAGTTCCCAATAACATCATTGCACTTTTCAGTCAACTTAATCCTTCAGCCTCTAACAGAGTACCAGGAGTGTCCCTGGGGATAAAGTGCAGCCAGCATGTGAGGCTGCCAACTTCACTGCCGTCTGTGAGCCGATTGTCTAGAAAATGTGGGAGCCTTGACATCTCACAACCCCTGGGGGCCTCCATGGCCTGTTACAGGTATAGCTTTACCTTTACCTTCAATATTAATAATAATATTTTATGTAGGGACTGTGCCAGCTAGTGAAGGGCTGACCAAACAGCTGTTTGCTCTGGTATCGAAGCATAAGGAACTTCTGACTGGTATTCTGTCAATGGAAGATGAAGCAGCAGATGAAACAGCTGTAAAGAAGATCCCTCTGTTGCTTATACAAGGCATCACACAGTTCACACTGCAGATCCCTTGCAATGATGCCTGTAGACAGGTGAGCTGCAGTGAGGTGTGTCCTAGACATAGGTTCCACTTGCTGTTAAACAATTTTGGTTGCACATGGAAATTGTAAAATATTCATAATAATCTCTTAATTTATGTTATTTCCCAGCAGTTATTAGGAGATGCATATTCCACAAATAACAGAATTTATAGAATAATACAGAAGAAATTGAACAGAACATGACGGAACGAGCCCTATGAGGGTTTCAAAAATAGCAGTCTTGAAATATAAGCAAAAAGGAAAAATAAGTTTGGTCATACTTCTGTTATGGTGAATCACCAGATGTTATAAATTTATGTCATCTTTTAAGTAGCATCAGAATCATTGTATGCAAATCTGTGAAATTATTTAGCGAAAGTTTTTTTTTTTTTTAATTGTTTGTTTAAGGTGCTGAAATGGGTGAAGTTATTTGTGAAAGACAGAGTGCTGTCAAATGTTAACCTGGTGAAACGGATGTTGTCTCTGCTGTTTACACTGGAGCTTCGTTCCAAGGGCTCCAGTCAGCTGTATGAGCACATTGCTATGCAGCTGTCAGATCTCATGGGGACTGTTAATGAAGTGAGTCCATAATCTGTAAATTAATTTTTGGTATAAGGAGTATCAGCTTATTTTCCAGAGTCAACCTCGTGTTTCACATGTAACCTGTTGCATACTTGTCTCAAGAAATCTGTAGGCATGGGCACTGCCAGAATATTTTCTTGAGAGGGAATGGCACTGATGGTCATGGTGCTCGAGTCTGTTAATTCCACACCCTCATTCATTCATTCATTCCTGGGAGCGAATGCAGCCAGAAAATTTGCTTATAAACTTATGTTTAAGCTGTGATAGAATACTCTTTTTTGTCGTTCTAGAGTATCCAAGATAGAAGAATAAAGTTTATAAAACAAGTCATTTTGCTTAATCAGTTAACTACTATTCCATGAAGACATATGGGAGAGCAGAGGTATAGCTCCACCTTTCTTGAGCATGGAACTAGGTGGAGGTGAGTGGTCAGCTTCCTACCCCTGCTACTGTACCTCTGGGGAAAGAGCCCCCAGTACCCATTAGATAGGAGGCTGAGTGGGGCACAGTTGGTCTGGACACTGTGGAGAAGAGAAAAATCTTGCATTGCTGGAAATCAAACCCAGGCTGTCCAGCCCATGGCCTGTTGCGATACCAACTGAGCTACCCCAACTCCTTTAAGATAATTTTAATTTCTAGTATAGTTACTTAAGTCAGTTTTGATTATTATTTAAAGAAAGTATCTGTAGGGAAGGAGGTAGATGCCAGCTTACGACTTCACTTGGCAAGAAGTCTGCTTCTGTCATTTTCAAACTTCCTGAGAACTTTACTGGTAGTTTAGTGAAGAGGTGGAAGGAGGCCATAGAAAACTTTGGTTTCCTCATGTAAGATCCTTTATTATTACATGACAGGATGAAGAAGCTGAGAAGCATATATCATACTCTGCTGTCAGGGCCGGCTACGAAAATGCAGTGCTATTCCTCCTTTGTGACATCGTGAAGCAAATGCTGGAGCTTATAGATTGGACACTGTTGCGATTTCGAGCGGAATACACTGCCATGACACATTCTGTAGCTGACAGGCTACAAGCAAGTAAGGACTACCATCTGCAACATTGGTATAGAAACATTAGGTTTATGATTGGCAGGAGAATCAAAATATAGGTGACTCATTACACCCACATTTGTTATCATTATTTTCACATATCTGGGGTTTTATTTCACCTCCATGGGAGCATCAGTGTCCTGTCTGTGACCACAGAGGTAGTGCCACACATATCCAGTGCCTTATGCACAGTTTTCCATACTCATCCCACCATTTTGTCCCATTGATATTGCCTGCTCCTCTACCATGCTCAACATTTGTTCAGCACATTTCTTGTATTGTGTTTTATATATATATTGCAATTTTGAGGAACAAAATTACCATGTATAAGGAGGTTCACCTGTGATTGGTTAAATGCATGTCCCAGTTCCCAGTCAAATACAAATTTCACACAAACTGTCCGCCTCTGATGTGAAAAGCCGTTGTCTTTTTGGCTGAGCTGTCTCAGAACCAGGAGATTGTCTAATTTTAAGATTGAAATTCTTGTTCTACTTACATTATTTTTGGGCCCCCACTTTATAAGTAGACAGTATTCCCTCCTGTGTCATCTAACTGAATACAGAATCCAACGTCGCAATTCATGCACTTTGTCCAGATGTAACTCCATTTCCCACATGAAGAGCACACACCTCAGTCTCGTATTAGAGGAAGTCAGCCAGTGATGTCAAGTGGCCTCCCCTAATCATAATGCTTATAAAACATCGCAATTTCAACTATCCACCATTGTCTCATTTTGCATGGAAGAAGCCGAAATTGAGAAGCCGCTGATAAATGACACTGATTCAGAATGCGGTACAGACGACTCTGTAAGTGGCGAGGAAGCATGGGGGCATTGCGGGGATGTTCCAAGAACAGTACCTCTGTGTGTCTAGTCCAAGATATAAACAGGCAGAGTTTCTGAAGGACAAAGTACGATAAGACTTCGCCCACACTCGTGCATGCAGATAGGTTCCAATGTGACTGGAGAATGTGCAATACAAACATAAACTTCCTCCCCTTTTGCCAGATAAGACATAGTAAGAGAGGATGTCAGCAGCATGCATTTATACTGCAGAAACTGTATGCATATTTGTGGACAGACGCTCAAAATTGGGTAAACATTTTTTTGGAATCAGTGTAACAATTTTTACAGATTTTAAAATCTGTAAATTACAATATCTGATTCTATATTGTTTCTAGATAAAAGCAGCGATTATTTCGTTCGTTTATCACATAAATTGTAGAAATCACAGCATTTTCAGTAACATGCTTACAATTTTTAATACTCTACAATGGCGGACATTTAAATTAACTCCGGCCTGCTGCCATTACAGGAATTCAAATGGCCCATCTCTTAAAGGATATAGAGAGGATTATAGGGACTGGAGGTTTGACTTAGGAACCGATTTCAGTAACATGCTTAAATTTTTAATACTCTACAATGGTAGACATTTAAATTAACTCCAGCCTGCTGCCATTACAGGAATTTAAATGGCCCGTGTCTTCAAGGATATAGAGAGGAGTATAGGGACTGGGGGTTTGACTTAGGAACCGATTTCCCTGCAAGGGACTTTTCAAAGGGCTGATCCAAGGGGGAAAATTAGAAAGTGTGAGAAGTGTACATCATGTTTGTCAGATCCCTTTACAGTTGGAGATGTACGGATGCTGTCAAAAACATCTTCAGTTGTACACCATGCTTTGAGTAGGCAATCGTGGAAAAAACAAAGTCATTTTATTTTTTGAGGTGTCTGGTATGGTTATTTTGGTTTGCGTGACTTTTTTTTTACCCCCCTAGTGGGGTGGGACTAAGTCCCTTGTACTGCAGCCACTTCTGGCCTATTGTACCAGCCCCAGATGATGGGTGAGGGTGATTGTGTGGAGCAATAGGTGGAATGAAGATTGGCAGGGGAAACCAAAGTACTTGGAAAAAACCTCCCCGAGCACCACTTTGCCCACCACAAATCCCACTTGATCGAACCCGGGGCTGCCACGGTGGGAAGCCAGCAACTAACCGCTTGAGCTATGGCGTGGTCCTAATTTGGTGACTTTCAAATTACAATATAACAATCTGGGTCACTATATGATGATAACATACCCTCAGAGATGTTTTAATTTTATATTAGATTGACTTGTGAATGTCAAATTTGAATTTTATACAGATGCAAATGGCCATAGATACTGATGTGAAATTGCTCTTACTTTTATCTTCATTGACTTTGTTATATACCTGCAACCCTCAAGTACGTTCTCCCCAAATGACATTTTCTAGATAGGGAAAGTCTGAAAAGGAAGGAGTGTGACGTGGTGCACCAGATAAGCCAGTGTGTACAGATCCTCAACTATGTGAGCAATCTGGCACTGAAGCCAGGCCCTGCAACTGATGCTGTCCTCAAGCTGCTGACTCACCAATATACAAGTCTCACCATGCTTACAAAATACTTCATTTTACGCTCCACCAAGACAGATCCTGCTTTTCGTGCTGTCAGGTACAGTTATACTTAAGTGACAGAATATCTAGCTCACCGAGTTTTCAGAATTTTATTCTGCAAGCCTTAATTAGCCAGTTTGATCCAAATAACATATATCAAACTGTGTTGGTCTTTTAAGAAATTCAGTATGTTTTGTTAGAATCTGTAAAGTCCACCGATGATATTTTGAGCTCTTATTCACTCCTTGACTCTACGATCCTCTAAGAACCTTGGCCTTCTTTATGGCAGATGCAAAGCAGTTGTGCATAATGCTTGAATAGATCAATGACTGCATACAGAACTTTTCCATATTGCTATTGTGGCATTAGATTATTTTTCCAGAAATAATCCCATCTACAGTTCATTTCCTTGTATGTGAAAGCCTCAAGCCCACTGAGTTAAAGACAACTTAATATAAAAAAAATCCAAATCATTAGCCAAAATAAAGAAATTTGAATTGTAGAACAGGTGTATTGTTTATGTAGGTGAGAGTAGACACTGGCATTTGGTGATATTCTTCAAGTATTAAGTATACACTGAATGGAACACGAAGTTAGCATTGTTTCTTGAGGTATGAGGTTGTCATGACACCGACTGAAGAGTAATTTTGTCTGATGTGGCACCTTGTAGTGTGATAGAAAATTAACAATGTTTCAGAGGAATGGAGGTAAACTTCCATTGAAGTATGCAGCATCACATCTCAGAAAATGGTACTGTCTAACATTCCGTTTCTTCATATTAGAACATATCATAAATTGTTAGTAATTTGTTTTCTTCGTTTGTTTGATTTCTTTCTCCTGTGTTTCCAGGTTTGAGATGGTAGTGAAGCTGACAGGGAAGTATCTATCCCCACATGTCTACAATTTGATTTCTCACATCGAGGTATGTTATATTTCATTACAAATGTTTATGTCTGCATGTCATAACTTCTTAGTCAGGTCCCAGTCCCATCCTGTCTTTTTTTATTTGTACCACACTTGCCTTGCTCTTCTACCATTATGAATCAGGCTGTAGGCTCACCTTGAAGATCAAGGAAGCAGGCTCGCCCTGAAGATTTAGACAGCAGGTTCACCCTGAATATTGAGACTGTAGGCTCATCCTGATGATTGAGGCAGCATGGAAATACGTGGGGCAATCCAAAACTTTCCAAAATTTGAATTTTGCCCGCGAATGGTTATGAGTACATCGAAATACCGCTATGTGTCTCCTCACACATCCTTCTTGAATCAGTGTGGCAAGCGGCGTCGAGTTCAGTGGTTGGGTTTATTGTTGGTGAACGTATTTCCATTGTTGTGTTTCCGTGAGTTTGCAGTTTTGCAATGGCTGACCTGAGAGAGCAGCGTGTCTATAAAGTTTTGTTTCAAACTTGGGAAAAACCGCTGCAGAAACGCACCAAATGTTGAAGCAAGCTTTTGGTGAAAACAGTTTAGGCCAGACACAAACTTACAACTGGTATAAGCGTTTTAAAAATGGCCGAACATTGACTGATGATGACAATCGTTCGGGACGGCCGTCAACGGGAAAAACACCAGAAAATTTCACGAAAGTTAGGGATCTGATTCTGCAAGATCGTAGACTGACCATCCAAAACCTCTGTAACACCTTGAGACTAAGTTATGGTACATGTCAACGAATTTTGTCACAGGAACTGAACATGAGGAGGATTGCAGCGAAGTTTGTGCCACGACTGCTGCAAAATGAACAGAAGCAGCACCGCTTGGAAGTCTGCAGGGAACTTCAGCAACACCTTCAAGAAGATCCAAACTTTCTTTCGAAGGTTGTCACTGGTGACGAAAGTTGGGTTTATGGCTGCGGCCCTGAAAGCAAGCAGCAGTCGTCGCAGTGGAAGAGCCCTTCTTCACCTCGGCCAAAAAAAGCTCCACAAGTCAAGAGCAACATTAAGTCCATGTTGATCTGTTTTTTTTATATTGACGGGATTGTTCATAAGGAGTTCGTCCCTCCTGGTCAGATAGTCAATAAAGAGTTCTATCGCGATGTTCTAAGGCGTTTGAGGGAGAACATGAGGACAAAACGTCCAGAGAAGTGACGCACGAATGACTGGGTACTCCACCAAGACAACGCACAACTGCATACGGCTTGCATTGTGCAGGAATTTTTGACTGAAAAAAAAGATGGCAGTTGTTCCCCACCCACTGTACTCGCCAGACTTAGCTCCATGCGACTTCTTTCTCTTCCCCAAGATGAAAATCAAGTTGAAGGGGCGAAGATTTGATACAGTTGAGGAAATTTAAGCGGAAATGCAGACGGTACCAAACACCCTAACAAAGAAAGACTTCCAGGATGCATTTGAAAAGTGGCAGAAAGCTGGGATCGGTGTATGCGCTCCCAAGGGGACTACTTTGAAGGTGATGTTGCAGAATAAGATCTAGGTAAGATGTAATAGTTTTTATTAATATATATCGGGAACTTTTGGATTGCACCACGTATTTATAAATGTAGACTTCAATTCCATGTTATTGAACAACAGATACAGGTCTCTTGTTTCATATGCTGCAAACTGTTTATGGCCATTTGGGTTTCCTTGTATTGCAGTAACCGGTTGGTCAAGTTATGATCAAGAGAAATTTAATAAAACACAGTTTAAGTTTTTTTACATTATTTATATATACAGAGTGTTTCACGACTTTAGGGCATAACTGCAGGAGGTGATTTCCTAGGTCTTTGTGATCAAAAGAGTTCATATAAACATGTGTCCGATTTTGGACGGTTATGGAGTTATGACCGTTTTAAACTCAGAATAGAAGGTAACGATTACTGACAATAAACGGAACAAAATAATAAACCAGCATAATACATGATACATTTAAAGTATGAATGTAAAGTTAACTTCGTGAAATTACCTTTAATTTGAAGTGATTGGTCCTTGAAGCTGATTTTCGAAAATGCCACTGCTGGCCGCAACACAGGCTGCCGCTTGGTTGTGAACCACGCGGGTACATACCAACCCACCACGCCTTAGGTACCTCTCAAGTGTCGAGATAATGAGAACGCTCTGTCTGTAGCTGGGTAAAAATACCGACCCGTCAGATGATAGATGCGGTTCACACGAGGGCGTGTACGGGAATGAAAAACAGTCATAACTCCATAACCGTCCAAAATNTTTTTTTCAATTGACCTAATCTTTCCAGCCGCACTATGGCCCTGGGGTCAACTCAGTCTCTAACAGAAATGAGTCCCAGGAATTAATTAAATAATTTTCCTGGGGAGTAAAGCGCAGCCGACACGTAAGGCTGACAACCTTACCCCCATCTTTGAGCCGATTGTCTAGATAATGTGGGCCCCTCAACGTCTCACAACCCTATGGAACTTCACAGCCTGTTACAGGGATAGCTTTACTTTTTTTTTTATACATAAACATGCTCAAACCTTTCTCTAGATAGTGCTTAGTGCATATCATATTTCTGCCAAGTTTGGTATCTTAGTAGAATTGTAGTTGGCTCTCCAGAACTTTTCAAGTAATTGAGGCTAAATGTTCCAGATTAACCTTGTTTTTAACAATTTTTCGTTGAAATTATGACAGACTTTATTCTGGTTTCTTCAGAATAACACTAATTAGCTACAAGACTACATGTCTTTCACTGGTTGTAATTAGATTTACATTTTGATATACACACATTCTTGATATTTATCTTCCTTGGCAGGAAATGAAGATAGGCTTATTGAAGGAGAGATGGAAGATTGGGGTTGAGGTTATACTTATGTTGACATTGACTCAAGAGAGACATGTCTTTTGTGTAGGCCAGTCAGAAGCTGGAGAATGGTACAAAAAAGAAGAAGGCAGATCCATTGGCCATGAAATCAAAGGTCCTTAGGGAGACACGATTCATCCCTAATCTTATCTACGAAATTGAACAATATGAGAAGTTTGTCATTGAGTTATCCAAGAAATCCAAGGTAAAACTCTTGATATAGGTTTTGAGGTTCTCACAGCAGTTTTTATGAAGAGTTCTTAGTATAGCAACTGACTATGGGCTGGACAGCTAAGGGGTTGAAGGTCAAGTCCCAGTAGGAGAGAGATTTCTCTCTTCTCCACATCCTCCAGACCTGTATTGGGGGCTCCTCCAGGAATAAAGGGGCCGGAGCATGAAGCTGACCACCCACCTCCAAATAATTCCAAGGTCAAGAATATGTGGTTCTGTGCATCCACTTCCCCATACACCTCCATGGTGTAGTGCTTAATTAGTGAAGCACAAGGACAACTTCATTTTTCTCCTGGGATATAATGCTACATTGCCCTTTGAAAGTCATCTGATGTTTCAGAGGAACATGTCGCCTCCGTCATCATTGTTGAAGAATAAGCAAAACAAGAAATCAGCATGAAGCAGGTAGCAAGCTCTGCTTTATGCTGGTTTCTTGCTTGCTTTATTTTCCCTGAGGATGGTAGCAACCTTTTCCTCCAAAACATCAAACTCTCCTGAACCTTAAATTTACCCAAATGAATGCTAATAGTGCTTGAAACGTTGTATTGAAGTTTTTGATGGCCATCCTCTGTTGCTCCAGGCAAATTTTGGGATAATACCTTGATTACTCCTGATTGCTTCCTTCCAGTTCATTATTCATCAGTCACCATGCCATTTGAAGTTATATAGACAAGATACTGACAGCATCGTAAAATTCCCCACAAACAAAGTCAGGAACTCAGTAACTAAAGTAAAATTGTAAGCATTTCTGCATTAAATTCAGTTATTCTAAAACTCAGAAATACAGCAAATTATGATATAAATATTTGTAGTACTTATAGTTTTAAAAAATCATAACAATTCCACCTGTAATTTCAATGATGTGGCATTAAATAATTGAATTACAGTGAATAATATGTAGAATGTAGCAGTCAGAGCCTAATTTTAAGGTAGTGTCCAGCAATTTCATGATGTGATTTCAAGAAATCCATAAGAAAACCTTGGTCAGTATAATTGCATCATGACCAAGAATCAATCTGAGCACTTCCTGATTACAAGTCATAAGCATTACCACTTCAGCTGAATTAGTTTTTAAATAGGTACCAACATTTCAAAGGAACTCTGTGTCCCCATTTTCAGGATAGAGGAAGTCTTATTGTGCCCAGAATATGGAGGCAGTAGGCTCCTCCAAAACGTTACAAATGAACAAAATTTCATAGTATTACATCTTGGAAGACCATCATCATAATCCTCACTGTTGTGTGAACCTCGAATGTCATTACTCAGAGTTAACCAAATTACATGTAGTGAGAAGAGTTCAAGAAGTGAAAGCAGGAGCAGCCTTTTTTTTTTCTTTTAAGAAGTTTGTGACGCTGCCCATTGGTACAGAAGTCTCAAGTAGGCCTATAGTACCAGCATCTCTTGATAAATGAGGTTGTATCATTGGTAGTGGTAATTTGTAGTGGAACAATAGAAATGCTCAGAGAAAACCAGCTGCACTGTCACTTTGTCCATCCCAGGTTCTGCGTACTGTGGAACTGAATATGGATTGGCAACTTAACTGCCTGAGCTATGGCAAAGCCAAGAACAGCCTTTACTTGCAGTGGGAACACATTGGCAGAAGAGTTTTTATTGGCATGTAACTGTTTACAGGTTAATCTGATGAGTTACATGAAGCTGAGTACATATCGGGACTTCCGGATCTACTCAAAACGTTTGCAGGCTGCTGATGACCAAGATCAGTCTGTAAGTATAAAGGTCTTTAACAAGGGGGGGAAATGTGTGTGCGTGCGCAAGAATGTGTGTAGTCATTCTAATGTATTGCCTGTTGAAAGTTGAATGGGAAGTCTCTCCATTTCTTATATAGCCTTTCATACCTTTATTTTTGGGACATGCGGTTGTGTAATTGGTTGAGGCATAATGCTATGGACCTGAAGGTCGCAGGTTCGATTCCTGATGAGGACATAGTTACACAATGGGCCCTGTAGACACAGTTGTCCCTGTGCTTGATTAAGCACTATACCATGAAGGCATATGAGGTGTGGAAGTATAGCTCCACCATCCTTGACCTTGGCCCTCGATTAAGGTGTGTGGTTAGTTACACCCCACCCACTTTACCCTAGGGGAAAGATCCTCTGGTACCTATTGGATTGGAGGCTGGATGGGTCCCAGAGCCAGTCTGGATAATGTGGGATCAAGTTAAATCTCTTGCCCCTGCCAGGAATTAAATCCCAGTCATCAAGCCTGTAGGCTGTCACTGTACCAGGCTCCCCCAGCTCCTTATTCAGTGTAACTTCTTTATTTCCAGAATGCTGGGAATGATACAGTTGTAAGTGGCGTGGAAGCACAAGAAAATGGACACAGTGTTAGCAGTGTAGTGAAAGAGCCTCCCAAAAAGAAGGCTCGCAAGCAGTGAAGTCATGTTTCACTACTACTCTCTGCAGCTGGACTTGTTTTGTGGTTTCCATTTGAACCATGGAAGTGCACTTTGTCTTTTTTGAAAGAAGATGTAATATGACCTATGACCAATGATTTAACCAGTATTTTGTGTAAGTTATGTTATTCTGGAAATTTTGTTACAGTGTCTAAAGCTATTACTTTGGTTCATACAAACACTTGCCGTCTTATTTTTCAAATGTATCTTGCCATCAAGGCTGGTTACATTTCCAAAATATTGAAATTCACATACAGTGAAGTCACATTTTATGTGAGGGATACATTTCTGAAGACTTCTCATAATTCAAGACAAGTTTTCTCATAGGAATAGATGTAAGGTGAGGATTGTTTGGGATTCACATTATTTCAAATTCACATAAAATGTGGCCCCACTGTACTTTTATTATTTTGTTGTCTCACACAGTCTTACAGCTTACAAATCACTTCTTTTTTAAGTTTACAGTTTTTATTTTCTTAAAAGAAATTCTTATATCACATTATATCATTAAGTGAGAGAAAATAAATAAAACTATTTTCATGTATACCAAAAAAATTAATATTCCAAACTTGACTAACATCCAGTGTTTTTTGAGGAACCTGTTGCCTCCTTTTTCAGGACAAACTGGATCCAACAGCTTCCTTGAAATAGTAAATGCATACCAAAGGGAATGGTGTCACATCCCAAAAGACAGTAACCTCCATAATCAACCCTCAGAACCTAAAATTTCATAATGTCCATTGAAGTTTATCAACTCGAATGTTGCGTGCATTTCTTGTTTCCCCATATGTGCTACATGTCCCACACACCACACTCTTGATATAAATATCCTAACACCTTTATGAAACTCCCCATTTTCCACATTCACAGGTATGTTGCCTTAACTTCTGATGGGAGTTGTGTGTGGCATCCAGGCAGACACTAAATGAACTTGCAGAGTCTGTTTTGAGAAGCTGATAGTCAAGAAATTCCCTGCCTTTTCTAGAACCTGAAGTTCCATCACCATGTCCACAGGACCCTGTAGTGAGCCAGCAGAATCCAGTCCATGTCCCCACATCCTGCCAGCAGGTAAAAGTATCCATGGCATTGCAGAGAAGTCTTAAGACATATAACCAAGGATGGCACGTCCCTAAATGCCAGCATATATGATCTTTTTGTGTAAAATGTAGTTTGGTGGATGTATTTATTTTTATTTTTGAGGGTAGTCCAGAAAGTAAAGACTGGTTGGTGATTAAAAAGTAAATGAATAAAATTAAGTACTGTACAGTATATATATCATTATTACAAACCTTAAATCATTTTCCTATATAATCCTCATGAAGAATCAGGCACTTGTATAATTAGAATGATCAAGTCAAGGGGGATGAGATGGGCATGGCATGTAACATGAGTGGAGGAGAAGAGAAATGCATATAGGATATTGGTGGGAAAGCAAGAAGGAAAGAGACCACTAGGTAGACCAAGACATAGGTGGATGGATAATATTGAAATGGATCTTGGAGAGAGATATGATGGTATGGATTGGATTGATCTGCCTCAGGATACGTAACAGTGGATGGCTCTTGTGAACACAGTAATGAACCTACGAGTTCTATAAAATGCTGTGTATTTCTTGAGTACTGCACAATCGGCAGCTTCTCAGGAAGGGCTCAGCTCCATGAGTGAGTATAATGTGACAAGTTTCTGAATGCCTCCTTCATCTCTACATATGCACATGCCACCCAAAACCTGCATCAAGTGTGAGCAAATGAAAATCACCTGGAACTGGGTCCAGACTGTAGGGAGGATGGAAAAAAGTCCCAGGCAAAGTCAGCAAGTGTGCAACTATGCTTAAATGGTCTTCACTTTCTGAGTGACACTCTTATCTATTTATTTGTGTGTGTGTGTGCGTGCGCAACTGACTTCAAGGCTTGGAAAATTCCTGCCGGCCTCTGGAGTTGCCATTGGCTTATAAATGGACATAATTTTCAAGATTTTGTTAGAAGAAAAGGTGCTGGTATATTAGGGACTGCTGTCTTTTGTTAGGGCTGCATGTTTCGGCTATTTACGAGGGGAAGTCAGTAAATAGGTCTCAAATGGAATTAAAACACCTGTAATGTAAGTGTGGATCTATAATCCACACACTCTGTACACCTTTATGGCTTAGTGCTTAATTAGTGAAGCACAGGGACAACTTTACCTTAACAAATGTAATAGGTTTTCTATGCGTATCACTAGGTAGCAGCACAGTCCATCTTCATGACAGTCTAGATAGCAGACGTGCATGTGCATGTTCAGAGTTCGGTAGTCAAAATGGCAACCGTGTTTGAAGAGAGTAATACCAAAGAGCAGCTTTCTGTTGTGGGCAAAATGACTTGGTACAAACGATACCCATAAGGAAATGTTTCCTGTTTATGGTAGGAAATGTTTGTTACATAAAGCGGTTCACAACTAGGCCAAGATATTCTCTCAAGGATGTTCGAAAGTCGCAGTCGATGCCCAACCAGGTGCAGAAGTGTCAGAGAGAGCAGACAAAAGACTTCTATGCTGCGGGTTTCAACACACTAGTAAAGCAATAGGACAAGTGTATCAGTGTTGGTGGAGGGTATGTCGAGAAGTAAATGTTTCTTCCAGGTCGAATAACACGTATTTTACATTTCATATCCATTTGTTACCAATTTACTGACTTGCCCTCGTAAGTTATTCATGCTGCTGCCAACTGTGTACAGGAAATCTTGTATATTATTCAGTACCGGCTCTACTGACATATTTTTGAAGGTTCATACATGATTTCCGCAACTTAATACACTGTACAGAACTGTTCGCTTGACTCCACACATCTTGCAGTAAATGTAGTATAAAACTGATTTACACATAGGAAGGGTGGTCAAGAATTTCAGTGTCAGAATGCAAACTCAACTGGCGGAGGCAAATATCTCCATAGTATCGTCCGCCCTTAATTCCTTCAGAAATAATGAGAGAATTTCCTAAGGGCCTCTTTGATATGATTCGGGAAAATGGCCTACAGATTTTTCATCTATCAGAAAATAATAAAATTTCATTAGTATTTTGAACATTTGTGGAAGGCAGGGGCTCTTGATGCGTATTCAACTGCCAACAGCCAATTAAATTTGCCGTTTGTGACACATTAATTTGCTAGCCTCTTCACGAAGATTGCAAGCGTCAGCTGTTCATGGCGTGTGAATTCTGGGTAACAATGACCACAGTCACGTGCATCTGCCGTTAGATCTCGGCACAGAGAGTATATATATCACAGACGTACAGTTCTCGTCAGGATAAATGTGATGCGGTGTGCGTTCTGAGATCAGTAGTGCGCGACAAATTCTAAATTCTAAGCTGTAACAATATGACTTCTTTCTTGGGGACTACTAAAAGGAGGAGTAACACTGGGACAAGATCATCTATTTTCCCTACTGTAATATCGTTTCATTGATGTGCCATATCTAGATCCAGTATACTAGGAAGGACATTTAACGATAAACATAAGGCCTCGCCATATCTCAAGCAGTTAGTCGCTGGCTTCCCACCGCGGCGGCCCGGGTTCGATCCCGGGTCTGGTCAAGTGGGATTTGTGGTGGACAAAATGGCGTTGGGACAGGTTTTCTCCGAGTACTTCTGTTTCCCCCGCCAATCTTCATTCCACCAATTGCTCCACAATCACCCTCACGTCTCATCTGGGGCTGGTACAATAGGCCAGAAGTGGCCGCAGTACAAATGGCTTAGTCCCACCCCACTAGCATTAAAAAAATAAAGATAAACATGGAAGGGGTGGGATCTACAGAACCGGTAAGATAAAGGTAAAGCTATCGCTGTAACAGGCCATGGAAGCCCATAGGGTCGTGAGACTTCGAGGCTGCTGGAAGGATTAGGTCAACTGAAAAAATCTAACGACATCGTCTTGGTTGGAACCCGCTACCTTCGGGCTTGTAGCACAGTGCGTCAACAAACTACGCTACCGCGCTGCATAACCGTTACTGGTAAATATTTATTTTACGATTATGTTAGTATCTGGAATGTATACCGTCTGATAGTGGGATAAGTCTTGTTGAAATAATGCTTACACCTGGATGAATTTAGACAGTCCTGGAGGGTTACATGGTTACCGGAATTCCTAAATTTCGAGACTGTGAAAAGTGTCG